TTAAAAAATAAAGTGTAGAAAATGCATTGATGGATGTATTTTAAACTTTAAAGTCTTGTAATAGTAGTTTGCTTTAATAAATGAAATTTTGATGGAAAATATAATAGGGAAATTTTTTTTGAGGGCGGGAGGGAGTCATTTAGTACAAAATAGATGCAAATATTAACGGTTTTTTGGGGAAAGTCTAATTTGTGTGTGGTTAGGCATCTATTTTTTTTTGTTTGCTAGGAGAGATAATTTGGGGGGAATATCTAGAGAAGTAAATAAGCAGCAATACCAGCAGCAGCACCAACAAAGACGCCACCAACACGAAGGTTCTCACCGGCACTGGCAGAAGCCTTTGCAGAGGCAGAGGCAGAGTGGACTGCACTACTGACCTTGGAAGCAAGTTGAGATGTTTTGGCTGCAGATGAACTGGCAACAACTGTGCTAGAAGTGACAACAACAGAAGAAGCTTGTGCAGCAGCAATGTTCTCATCAATAGAGGCAGAGTCAATATCAACACTGGCAGCATTGATATCAGCGACAACATCAGCAGCAGCACCAGCGTCAACATCAGCACCAGCAACATCAGCTTCTACACTGGCATCGGCATCAGAAGAGAGACTATCGGCATGGATGTCCTTTCCATACTTGCCACCATGGCTACCGCTACCATGGCTATCACCGTGGCTTCCACCACCACCATATCCACCATGTTCCTTACCGTGGCTTCCACCACCATATCCACCACCGTGTCCACCACCTTGTCCACCATGTCCACCGCCAAATTTATCATCTCCAAAGTCTTTATCATCGTGGCTATACTTTCCATACTTCTTATGAGGATAGTCATCAAAGTCATCTTGATCATCATGATGGTTCCAGTGAGGCTTACCCTTTTAGAAGAAGGAGAGTTTTAGTATTTGCAAGTATAAAAAAAAATATGAGAGAGAGAGAGGACTTACGGTGGGCTCAAAGCCGCCCCAACTCTTGGTACGGGTAACGGTGGTAACTACGACAACAGGAGGCTTGTTTTCGATCTGCATACCAGGTCTAAGAGAGAAGACGGGACGAGGAGGACCAGGAGGAGGAGGAGGGTGGAAACCACCATGTTGACCACCACCATGTCCATAGTCAGGTCCTTCTTCATAAGGCTTTGCAGCTACAATAAATATATGAGTGAGTCGGAGAGAAAAAAAAGGGAAAGATTAATGCAGAAAAATCACTTACAAGCAACACAAGCTAAAGCGGCTGTAATAGCGAGAGCAGTGAATGATTTCATTTAAATTATAATAAAAAAGTCTAAAAAATGGTAGAAATCAAGAATAAAAATGTATCAGTAGAGAGAAAAAAATGATCGAGTTTTTATATAGTTGTATGAAATATTCCCGACATTTTTCAATGATTTAGCTTTTGTGTATTAATTCGGAAAGAATTATAATTCCCTGTTTATCGGTTTGTGTGTGTATAGATTTTTTTTTCTGGTGCGTAGTCGGAAATTTCATAACGCGTAATCTTCCCTCTTTTTTAAGTTTTTTTAAAATAAACACACATTATGGGACTTATGCCGCCCGTTGATTTCGATAGCTTAATGAGTCAAGCCAAAGACTTGATTGCTAAAAAGGACAAGATTGAAGCAGACTTGAGCGACATTGACGCTCGATTAGCAGAAACAGGTGTTGGTATGCAGGAACCGTTAGTGGACAGCTCCGGATTCCCTCGAGCAGAAATAGATGTACATTCAGTCCGCATCGATCGTAATCAAGTTATTCGTCTTCGTAACGATCATAAGGCAGTGATGGCAGATATTGAACGTATCTTGCATGAAATCCATCAAGCTAAGCGAGCAGGATCAGCAACCACAGGGGGAGCAGCCAATGATGTAACTCATCTATCAGAGGAAGATACAATCGAAACAACACCGGTTGCCTTTGCAATCGTCAATGCAGTGGCTCCGGATTCGCCAGCATATTCCGCTGGACTTCGTCGGAATGATCGTATTTGCAAGTTTGGCCATATTGATGAAAAGAATCACCAGAACTTGTTGGCTTTGAATGCATTGATAGGTCAGAGTGAAAATATACCAGTGCCCGTCTCCTTGTTAAGAGATGGAGAGATCTTGAATATTACGGTTACTCCAAAATCAGGCTGGGGAGGCAGAGGAACCTTGGGCTGTCATTTATTACCACTGTAAAAATAAAATAAAAATAGTTTCTTTTTTTAAGCTCTGATATCATTTTTGTGATCACCCCACATGATACGGGTGTACACAATACACATCATTATAATACTTGCTTTTTTTTATTATTTTTAATTGTTATTTTCTTTTTATTCTCTTTTTTTTTTTTTTACTGTTTCTTCTTCTTCTTCCTTGTTTTGACCTGTTAAATGATGACTTATCAGATAGTAAGTGATATGCACATTACGGCAAACATAAAAAAATCTCACACGATTTATTAGGACACGAACTCTCGTTGGCATCATTGTAATACCGAGCCTAATTGTAATGCCGAAAAGTCATTTATCAAACCTTCAAGCTCCATCTCCAATTTATCTCGACTCTTTATTGCCACAGCCAGCTATTACAATCTGACAAAACAGCAAGCACTGGTAACATTTTTTTTTTTTTTTTTTTTTTTTTTAGTACAGACTTACCTATTTAGATAAACAACAAATAACATTGGTACGTTTATAGGATGCGATTGGATATCTTCTTTATGAATACGATGACACCATTCATGTACAATTATTAGATTGTTTCATACAACACAAGTTTCTTAAAAGAGACACAACCAGTTTTACAATACACGATCATGAAAAGATAACTGGAATTTTCACACCACTCACAAAGTGCTACTCTCCCTCGTGTCAAATAAACCAAACATGTTATTCGCCTCTTTGTCCAAACAAGCGTATTTCCGGCCTCCTGCATCTCACCAACGCCCATGAACAGGTAACAGCTTATTCTTGTATAGATCATGTTTTCATTCTCTTACTCCTCTTGTTCACAGGATACCACAAAAGATTGGATCGAAAGTATACCACATCATATTCGCCTATGTACAGATCGAAAAGAGCTGAAACGACAGGCTGGTATAGCCGAACTTTTAATGACGGAAAGTCATTACCGACAAGATCTCCAGTTACTTCACTCCATCTATGCCGTGCCGTTATTAGAATCAGACACAATACCTATTTCTAAACGTCAACGCTTTTATAATAATGTGTTTGGAAATTATCTGGATATCCTTCATCTTCACAACTCTTTTTCACATCAGTTTCGACATTCGGGGTATTTTATTGTGGGTCGTGTTGGCACCATCATTCTCCAACATGTCACGCTCTTGATTGAACCGTATATTTTATACGCTTCCAATCACATCAAGGCTATCTATTGCATGTCCCTTGAACAAAAGTATAACCCGTTGTTTGCTAAATTCGTTGTCACACAAAATGCTCTCAAATCCACGCGACGGTTAGGACTTCGACATTATCTGTCCTCTCCTACACTATGGATGGGTAAATTCAAGTTAATGATACAAGCCATCTTGAAGAACACTGTGGATGATGCCGATCAACTATCCCTCAAGGCCTCCCTGGCTATTTTGCATGATACACTGTGTCGCATGAATACTTGTGCTAATCTATCACCGGAAGAATTCAGGTTTGAAGAATTATCAACCTCCATTTATTGTACCACACTGGGACAACACGAGTCCTCCTTGTACGAAATACCCGACGGAAGCAGTCTAATACGAGAAGAAGCTTTATGGCTCGCAAGATCTTCTCATCCATTACTGCCTTCACTCTGCCACGTCTTTTTGTTCTCGCATGCTTTGGTCTTGACCCATCCTCGGGTGATCAGTGGCCGTACAGAGTATCACGTGGTAACGTCCATCCCGCTACAGTTGCTGTCGCTCGATCATCAAACATTAAACGCATCCATGATACGACGACTTTCATTTGCCTCAACATCCATGGTTTCCACACCCTTGCATTTATTCCAGAGTTTACGACGACAAAAGAGCACAGTGTCCGAACCCGAAGACAAGAGTCGAAGTCGGATAAAAAGGATGATGAAATCGGTTTCGTTGACAAGACGCGATTCTGCTCCAGCAGCCTTTATGTACAATCATCGAGCTACCACACAACGGACGGTACGCATTAGTCATATGGCTTTTCCGGAAAATGTGTACAAGCTAGAGTTCTTGTCAAGGTCGGATCGTTTAATTTGGAAAAATGTGATTGGACAAGTCATTTGTGATTCGACCAGTAGTCGTGTGTTTGATATCCAACGATGTCCTACATTGGCACAGATGGGCAAAATAAAATGTGCTCATACATTTGGTAAGCGTTTAGTCTACACGGTTTTATTGTTTTTTTTATTACATGAGCTTAAAGAAAACCGTTTATTATAAACATAGTTCATTTAGGGAAAAGTATGGTGGTGTTTGGTACGCAGAGTGGTGTCTGGATGGGACAAGAGGAAGGACCCTTTGATCTGGTGTTACCCAATGTAGATGTGTATCAGTTATGTACATTGCGTAATAAACTGCTCGTACTCAACCGTCAAAAACGAAATTTGATCGCCTACCGTTTAAACGCGTGGCAAGACTGGTGTGTCGTGAAACGAACCTCCGTCACATGTTTTACAGTTGGACGCATTCGAAACCAGGATGTCATTGTATACTTGACTAAACGACTGCATACAACTTGGCTTGTGATCATTGTCCCTTCATCAAGGCTAGGCAAACATTGGTTCAAAAAATATATTACGGAGCATAAAGTATCTATCAAGGATCCAACCACACTGCAGGTGACTGGAGATTCCGTGTTCGTAAGATCGCATCGGTTTGGTATTGAACGTATTGAGATTGATATGCCGGAAACACAAATCGTCTTTCGTGGAGTCAATGTGGGTATGGTGGCACTTTTGAAGACAGGTATCGTGTGTGATTCGCAATATGCGTATGCCGTGTCCTTGTGGGAGAAGCGTGAGGTGGATCGTTTAGTGAGGATCAAATTTGAGTCGCCCATTCATCACGTCGCGGTAATGTACCCGTATCTCATCGCATTTTCATCTTCTGTAATCGAAGTACGACATATGGAAACGGTAAGGAAGAATGTTTTGTATGCATTAAAACCAGAAAAACTAAAACTCATATCTTGTAAAATATAAAGTCGGAACTAGTACAAGCACTTCGAGGAAATCAAATTCAATTCGTGTCTATGGAGAATCATGAATCACGATTATTTTTTACCATGTTGGATGGAGATCGTATTCATACATCCATTTATCAATTAAATTTTTTTTTAATAAATGTGTATAGTAAAAATGCAATTATGAACAAAGTGGTGTGAGTGAGTGAGTGAGTGAGTGAGTGAGGAGGAAGGGGAAATAATAAATATGCTCTTCTTTAGAGAGCGTAGGTTTCTTGTTCAGAAGTTTCTTCTGAATCATCATCGTGTTGTGGTAAACTCATCCAACCATCTTGCGTAGAATTCAATGGTTGATTAGTTTGTAGCGGTTTCCAGACCAAATAAATCAGAAAGAGCATATAGATTGTGCCAGTGACACCAATCAGAATGGCTGTGAGGAGACTCGTGGCATGCTTGACAAACAAAAAGATATCGAACGAAATCACCACAAGGATTAAGACCCAACAAATAAACTGTAATATTTTACTTGGTATGAATTCCTTGGATAAGATAGTGGACGAGGTAGACAATTTGATAATTGGAATTAACACGGTTGGTAAACAAACACTAATGTACACAATTACAACACAAACAAAAAGTAAATAATTTATTCCATTCCTTTTTTTTTTTTTAAAAAAAAACCTGTATAATTTACCTTTGTAACACGTTGAGTAATTCACCCATAGTATCGAAATGATCGACAGCAAATATGGCAACCAACATACCGGGTATTAATGAAATACTACGGGTTGCGGCTACACGATGCCAATCTTTTTTGAAAATATTACCAAAGAATCCTTCCGTTACAAACTGACCCGCTAAAGTGCCCGTCATGGTGGAACTCTGACCAGCTATTTGCTGTTGTTAATTCCATTATCCTTTCACTGTTTTTTTAATTTCTATTTATTTACCTGCAAGCAAACCGGCAGCCCATAAATATTTGGCGGCAGATCCCAATGTACCGCTTAATCCAATATCTGCATCATCTAATCCAGGCAATTTCATTGTTCCAATTTGATCAGGCTTATAAAACACTAGATAGATTGTTAGCCTTCTTATTTCTCTCACTCTCTCTCTCTCTTATTCCCTTCTCTACTTTGAATATGGCGCTGTTTAATTACCTTTGGCAAAGACAACAACAATAGCTAGATTCACAAAAAAGGACACACTAAGCGCTAGACCTGACTCGATAGCAAAATAAAAGTTAGCTTCCTTTAACTTGCGAATGGAAGGCTGTGTTCCCAAATCACGGGACATGACAAGTGCACTGTGTAAAAACATATTGTGTGGCATAACAATGGCACCCAACATGGCGACGGCTTGAAATTCGGCATTTTTGGGGATGTTGGGTATCAGCACACCTTCCAAAATTTCCTTGACGTTGGGTTGTGATTTGACTAATTCGACCCAGAAACAGACAGCCATCATCGTGATGAGGACCATAAAAAACGCCTCCAAACGTCGTATACCATACCTTTGAATCATCATAAATGTAAATGTGTCAGTGGCAGTCATCAAGACACCAGCCCATAACGGAAGTCGGAGCAGAATGTGTAGTGCGACGGCAGTACCGACAATTTCTAAAATATCGGCGCCAATAATCGCGATTTGAGCAAAGGCCCATAGGACCAACGTAAGTCGTGTGGAGTAATTTTGTCGAATGAGTTGTGCAAGATGTTTTCCTGTAATTGTGCCTAATCTAGCAGATAGTAATTGAAAGATAAGACCTAGAATATGTGTGTTGAGCAGGAAATAAATAAATGATGTATATTTGGTAGTTACCAATCACATGTGCCCATAATAACAACCAAAGTAGTTTCGTTCCTGCAACTGCACCTGTTTGTAAATCTGATTCGAGATTACCCGGGTCCAGATATGCAATTGACCTAAAATTTAAAAGATTAATCTATGCGGTTCTTCCTCACTAACAAAAATTAAAAGTTGCCCTTACATTAACCAACCTATTACGACAAGAAAAAAAGTTAATTTTTCACTTTAAATCAGTTAAACTATCCTTTTCTCTTTACCTGGACCCATATATTTCCACAACTTTTTAAAAGAAAAATAGGCTTCAGAGACTTGACCCGTATCAATTTCGGGTTTGATATCTAATTCTTCTCCGAATAAAGCACTTGAAGATCCTTCCTCTTTGTGTTGTCTATCTTTTGTTTCGTCTAATAACCTCAGTATATCCGAGTCTTCTGATAATCGACTTGTGGCATGAGGAACCATGATGTTTTTATTTTGGTTTAAAATGAAAAAAAGAATATAAAATAAAAAAAAAAACAAATTTTACTTTGTTTAGCTTCAAATTAATTTTCCCCCCATCTCTTTTGAAACCCAGTGATGTCCATTCTGTAGCCAATACAATGCTTTGATTTTGCCATAAAAATAAAAACGGATACATCTTGATTCATGTCACAAATTGATTTGCTAATTTGACAATACATTGTTTGCACACAACGCAGTATTTCAAGCTTTCTCTGATAGAAGAAAAATGTTCCTCTTCCCCGGAGTCGGCTAAAAAGAAGTAAAACCCATCTTCTTTTCTTTTTTTATTACGTGAACACTTCATAAACAACGATATTTATAAAAGGGATACCTACATCCTTAATAATAATAAAAAAAAAAAAGAGTATCATTGATAGGAGAAATATATAGTTATATTGCCTTTTGCTGCTAATTAACCTTGGATTGCATTACGTTGTACTATGTGTATTTCCGCATTAATTAACCAGATTATATATAATAAAAAAGACAAGTTGTAGTACAATGGGATATAAGAAATATTATGCATTTTTATGTAAAGCTTTTATTATATGTATACTTTAGGTGAAAAGAGTGGGTGTGCGTGTGTGAGAGAAAGAGAGGGAGGGACTAAGAATTTAGGCCCAAAGTTGTTGCAAAGATTTACACGATGTAGAGATAGCAGGCTTTGCAAATTGTTCGTTATTTACAACAGATAAAATCAACGTAGTATCCCACACCTTGCTCAGCTAAAAAAAAAAAAAGATATAAATTAGTAAGATATAGACTTTTATAGAAATTATGATCATAAAACTACTTACATCTACTGTCTCTGGTGCTACCTTCTTATGGAGTCTAACAATCAATGTGACAAATCTTAAATAATTCTTCATTCCTTCGTAATCTAAACCGTGTTCTCCATCCTTTAAGGATAACTCGATAGTGGATTTTACAGATAAAGCAATTTGAGGTACTAATTTAAGGAACTTTTGATTGTACACGTCGGATTTCTATAATAGTATAAATGTGTTATTAATCTTCGCATGTTACAGCAACCCCCCAAGTTACGACTATCTTTGTCTTACCTTGCCAACAGTACGTTGGATAATAATACATGCCCATTTGCATGCCATGGAAAGTCTATAGATATTGGCACACTCAGCACGGTTCAAATATGTAACAAGAGTATCGAGCAAATCCCAAGAGCTCATAGGGTAACGCTGTAACATTTGCTGAATGATACTGGGATGTAAAGGAGTGGATTTCTTGGTCAAGTACAACTTGATGGATTCGCTGTAGATCTTGTTGAACTTGGCAAGTGCCTTTTTGGTCTTTGCAGGTGTGGCAACTTCGATATCGGTACCACCTAAAATACATTTACGCAAGTACAGGGAGAGTTGGTTACACATTTCAGATAACTCCTTGGTGGTGGAACTCTTTGCGAAATCATGAACGGCTTGGAGAATCTCGAAAACGTAATCGGATTGCTCCTTGGGATATTCGGCAGACTTGGCAAGACGGTTCTTTAAGAAGGCAATCACCTTTTCGACAAATTGGTTGGTGACAGACTTACTGGGTGTAGCACGGATAATGTTCAAAAGGGGAACAATTAAGCTCAAAACAAGAGGGTTGGTAGGGTTCTTTTGAGCATAAATCACAATCAATCCCATAACATTGTTCTTGAAATGAACAACGTTTTGTTGCATGGAAATCTTATCGTCCTTGAGGATCTTCTTTTGCTTGAACACTTCGGCTAATTTATCATCAAAAGCGGACATGGCCTCATCATCCAATTCTTCATCGGATGCATCATCTACAGCATTGATACCTTGTGCCTTCATGGCCTCTTCAATCTTTTGACGAAGCTCTTCATCCACATCTCCCTCATCTTCAGATTCCTCTTCAATGTTATCCATATCGATCATCTCAACATCGTCATCCTCTGAATCATCGTCGTCACCAAAGAGTTCCTCATCTTGCTTGCTATCTTCACCGGAGGCCAAAATATTCAAGAGCATCTCGAGAGATTGCTTGGTCAACTTGTGAGAGAAAATTTCAAACACTTGTTCAGCAAGGTTCTTGAGAACAGGGGATTCGTTGGTCAAGAAAGAAACGAGGATATCCACAATAACATCAATAGGGTCTAATTGTTCCTCCTCTTCTTCTTCGGTAGCCTTCTTGGACTTCTTGCCCTTCTTGGGAGTGGCAGCAGCAAAAGTCTTTTCATAACAATCGGTTAATTCGGTCAAGACAGCAACACCTTCGGTTTCGTTGATCAAGGTATGGAGAATAATGTTCAAAAAGAGAATCTCGAAACCACGTTCGACGCTATCATGCACTTGAGCCTTCTCCATCTTGCTAATCTTGATTCTTAATTCAGAGACAATCTTGATGGCCTTTTCGGTAGCTTTGGTGGTTTTATCAGCAGGCTTGATATGGGTGGTCAACTTCTTGTTCTTTTGCAAGGTTTGGTAAATGGAAAAGACCTTATAGGCCCATAATTCACCATCGTTGGTGATACCGTTTAACTTTTTGGTCTTGACGGAAGCTTGTTGCATGGGAGGTAACTTGGAAAGAGCAACGAGTACAGCTTGGAAACGCTCTTGACAGAACTTGATGGTGTTCTCGGATAAAGCAGGTGTAGGCTTATGGAGACCAGTCAAGTAAGAGGCGGTCTTATCGGCAGATTTGACATCAAAGAAGGAGTGGATCATCAAAAATTGTACGAGATCAGTAACCCATTGTTCTTCCTTGGGGATCTTGGCGTTAGTAACTAATAAAGTCATTTGGTTCAAGGCCCATTCGCGACTGGATTCAGCGGATTTCTCTTCGATAGTAACAAAAGTCTCGGCAAGGTATTCGAGGTAAGATTTAATTCCCTCGGTGTCCATGGTCGTCAACAAGTTTTCGACAGTCTTGGTACGAGTGATACGATCAAAGTTTTGGTGACCGTTCTTACCTAAAAGTTGGGTGATCAATGCAAAACCAACTTGCTTATTTTCTTCGGCTACGTTTTGAATGACATGAGCCTAAAAAAAAAATAGAGATGTATTAATAAAAAAACGGCAACACTTCCACTTTCTTGTAAACTTACAGTTTGTCTAGCAGCTCTGTTCAAGAAACGATCTTCAGAGGAAAGGTTGTTGATGAAACTTCTCATAAAGTTAGCAGTGAAGATCAAGGGCATTTGATCAGGGGAAAGACGACGCAAAACTTTTTCGACGAGTTGGAAACCCCAGAATTTACGACCATGGGAGGAGGTCTTATCAAACATGGTGTCTATTTGATAAATTATGTATAAATATCACATACTCATACATATACACACACAAACACACGCATTGTAATTTCTCTCCAACTTACTATCAACAGCAACGGTCCAAAATTCTTGGAAAGAGGCAATACCCTTGGGTTGATCTTCTTCGAAATAAACAGCAAGGAGAGGATCCCAAACTGAATGAAGTTGAGGCTTCCAGTCAGCCAAAGCTTCTTGGGTCTCGGTAGGGATTTCCTTGAGAATGTTGGCTAAGTGAGTCAAATTGGCAGGGTCTAAAATAGTGGTGCTCTTCCAGTTGGCTAATTGCTCAGATAAATCGACGTCTTCCAATTGTTGTTGAATGCCAATAAGCAAGTTAAGTTGATCCACATTGGTCACAGGTCCGTTGAAATATAATTCCTTTACCTTTTCAATAACCTCCTTTTCATGTTCTGTACCCTTCAACTATCATATCTATGAGAATCTCGCCATTTTTTTTTTTTTTTTGACAGTTTAATGTTTACTTACGTAAGGAAGAATGTTGATCACAACATGATGACAGACTTCGGCAAGATAGGATTTGGCCTTGGCCATTTCGTGTAAACCTTCCACAATACGAACAATATCTTCGGTTGTTGTAGACTCTCTGGCAACCATACCAGAGGCTACCACAGACATCAAACCGAAAAGACGACCAAATAACATATCGCGGGTTTCATCACCACTCATGGCTCCAGTACGCTCAGTATATTGGAACAAAAGGTCAAGTACGAGCTTGGTGGAGATAATATCGACAATGGCAAGAAGCTAAATATGTTTATGTTAGGAATGCTTTGCAATGGAGAGTGTGTTTGTTCAACAAAAAAAAAGGGCTTACCTCGGTCAAAGCCAACGAGAAACCTTGACGAGCACCTTGTCTAGAAGAGGGAAGACCACGAAGCAAACGACGGACTGCATAAGAAACGTCAGAAGCACAAAGAAGGTCGAGTTTCTCTTCGGTATCTGCAATGTCCTTGGTGTCTAAACTTTCTTCATGATTCTTTTGGAAATCGGCAAGAGTTTTAATCAAGGACTGAGCGGCATTTTGTCGAACACTGGGCTCAAATGAAGCAAGATCCCAGTAAAGCTGAAGAGTGGTAGTTGCCATATTATTTTATTACTTTAAAAAAAATAAAATAAAATAAAAAATGGATATGCTTGAATAATAAAAAAAAAATGTAGCTTTGAAGGAAAAAAAAAAAATTACTTATGTCAAAATAGACAAGAGTGGCTGAGTATGAGTGACGGCTTTTATGTGCTTCTAAAAAGGAAAGTTTATTGGGATTATTTTGAGCTTCCGCTTATATCGAGAACTTCTTCATTATTTCATGATACAACAATTTATTCCACGTATCTACAGGGCCTGGAATACATGTATGTAGGCAGTCTGCATCAGGCTTAGAATGTGCATCACCTCTTTGGTTGGATAAAGTGGAAATATCTAACATGTTGAATCGTTCATCCTTGACTAAACCACTCAATAAATCCTCCCAGATATCATCAAATGCCTTAAATAAATGCCATTCATATTCTCCTGTCTTGCCTGTGGGTGCTAATGGATTTGCTTGAGGTTCTTTAAATTGGGAGCAAGTAGCATGTCCATAAGGTGTTGATCTAATCCAAACCTTTTGATGCGGCTTAACCTTTCCCTTCAAGAAATCTAATACCACCGACATGGCATGTTTAAACGCTGCTAATAATTCTTCTTCCGATTGGTTGGGTCCCCACTGAAGATTTGGGTGCCAATGTGGGCCCTAAAATAAACACATTTGAGTATTGGGATACATTTACATTTCTTTCTTGTACATATAATACTTACTGTATTGATTACAATATAATCAAATTTATCAAGTGCATGAACCCTAATGGAAAAAAAGTTAGCCTCAACAGTTATTAAATTTGATTATCCAATTAAAATATAAACGTACCAGGGGTAATTCTCGCCATTACCTAATTGAGAACCTGCCTCTTCAAAAGGGCTAATCATTTTATAGTCGTCAAGACGAATCAAGTAATCCGAGCGGATATAGGCTATTGAGGATGTGTCTCGATCGGAGGCAGCAAGTTCATTTACTTTAATCTTGTTATTACCGCCATTTAGAGTTGATTTCGGGGGATGTCTATTCGGGAACTGATTTCCTAATAAGCAACCCAAGCTCTCGAATTGTAACTGTGTAATCGAATCACCGACAAATAATATAGGGTGTTGAAGAAAATGATCTGCTAATTGCTCTACATTCATCTCTAAAAATGAACAAGCATCTGGTTGCCACCTATAATCCATACTAAAAAAAAAAAAAAAGTATCTTAATAAAATATTCTTGACATTGCATTTTCAAGTAAAGTATAGCTTACATTTTTTTGGCCCTTAACGCCTCATTACCACCTTTTCGGAAACAACGATGAGCGAATTTCTTCATACAGTGATATCCCGCAGCTTTTGCAAATTGGGTTTGATTTAAAGGGGATTCTATCTCGATAGGATCATAGATCCACTGTCCTTGGTTAAAAGTTTTCGGTGTGCATAACGATTTGATCACTTTTGGTTCTAACGCTGGTATATATTCTTCCTCAGATGAGGTCATGTAATCATCTTCTAATACTGATGATGGGCGTAACGCCGGTGTATAGACTGTGATCCAGAGTACAAAGCATCCGAATACAGTTGCGATATAAATGTATCTCAGACTTTTCTTATCTTTAGGAACAGCTACCATTTTTTTTTTATATATAATAAGTCTAGAAAGAAAAGAGAGAAGGGAGAAGAAAATAAGGAGGAGTTGTGAAAGATGGATTTATAGCAATTTCCCTTGCCTAAAATGGTTACATGTCTGCCTGTCGTCATTTTCTTTTTGTACTTGTTCCTTTGTAATTTCTTAAATATTTCATCAATGTAAATGAAAATACTTTTAATTGACCTGAAAAACTTTAATCAATTTAACCTCTTTTCTCGTGTGTTTAATCGTATTCTTTTTGCTTGGCTAACATTTCTTAATCTTCTATTGCCTCTTTTTTACACATTTAGCTTGTGTTACTTTGGATACAGTGCGGTTGATAAATTTTACCCTTTCTGGTGCGTTACCCAAAAATATTTAGAGAATGATTATCCGTTTGTCCGCAAATGATCGTCGTTTTTTATGTACTCTATCTCTTTTTGGGCAAACTCTGTAACCGAGCTATTTTTTTTAGGCGTATTGGACGGAGTTCGTGCCAAGTATCATTGGTATAAATTAACCCTTTGACAGGAAAACATTATTCGAGATGGTGATTTGATATATCCTCTCCAGATATAATACTATCCATAAGCACAAACCCTGACCATTCTGGCTGTTAGGGGGTATTTAGAAAAAAAAAAAAAGTGCTCACATCTTCAGCAACCGCCCTTTTTCTTTCTTCCTAACTATGTCTTACAAATCCTGTCAAGGTGTAGTAATCTTTTCTTGAGCAACGTCTAGTTTGATGAGGTGATTCACCATGTATTCCAACTGTCTTACCGTATAAATTTGTGCAGAAAAAAAAAGTTGTTGCCATCGACATTGCCGACATTGTGACAGTAGTTAGTTGGTTCAAGATGGTGACGGATGAGACAACTGGTAAAAAAGTAACATTCTAGGACTCAAGCTCGTTATTTGTCATTAAGAGCGTCTTCTAGTTTTGAGGAAGGAATAAAGAACATAGCAAGTAATATATGCGACTACACCGGAAGGTATGACAAAATTACTCAATGTCACAAGCTTTTTACTTTTTCAAAGCATATATAAAGATACAAACAGTGATATAAAGCTAAAAAGACAAGTCGCTTTTGGTGTTAAAAAACTATTTTATTTATTTATTAAGAGCTAGGGTATTATGATGAGTGTTATGGATATGTTTTGAATGGCATGATTCAAGGAATGTAATTATTTTCTTAATAGCTTTCTCCAAGATATCTTGGACTTTAATTTTTCGTTTGAAGCGATACCAATACGATTGACCTTACCAATTAAATGAATTTGTTCATTGATAAATTCATCGCACGCTTTTACTGATTTTTTGTAAAGGCGCGAGATAATGTTCCTCGTTTTTGTGGAAAACTCCTTGGTCGAGTTGATGAATGCGACAGAGCTGTTTGTAACATCTGTTTTGGGAAATACAAGCTGTTGTGTATGAAGTAACTCCTTCTTCACTCGCTTGTTTTTATCAATGATATGAGCAGCTGATTTTTTGAAAAGGCGCAAAATAGCATTTTTCTTTTTTGTGGGGGATACCGTTGTGAGTTTGATGGATGCAACAGGGCTATTTGTAATAGCTGTCTCTGGAAAGACAAACGACTGTACAGGAGACAATCCCTTGTTCACTTGCTTGATTTGGATGGCGTCGTTGTTGCTAGCATGAGACTCTTTTTGAACATTATCAGCCGATTCATCTGATCGGGGGTTTTCTTGCTGCGCAGTAATGCTTTTATCTGAGAGCCCGTCATCTTGCTTTTGATTGACTTTATTGTCAACTGCGTGATTGTCTTCTTCGTTCTCCAGGCTTGAAATTGTCTCCACGACGAGTTCTTCTTTTGGAGTTTCAATGAGTGATGACTCGTCGGCAAGCTCTTCTTTTGGAGTTGCAATGAGTGATGACTCGTCAGCAAGCTCTTCTTTTTCGACTGTATCTGTTGAAGCCTTGACCAGAAGTTCTTCTTTTTCAGTGAACGTTTCTTCTTTAACGTCAAATGCCTCTTCATCAAGTATTTCTGGTTTTTGATCCTCTTCCAATTCAAGTACAGCTTGCTCTTGTACTGATAGATCTGTTTCATTTTCAAAGCTGGTATCATGTTCTTGACCGCTTGATTGTTTCTCTGGCTGTTGGAGAACGAGTGACATCTCGACAAGCACACTGGTATCACCAGAAGGAGTAGTAATACGTGGCTTCACGGAAGCGATGGATGTCGTAGCAGCGACTTGGGATTTTCTTGATGCTTTCTTGCGACTTTTCTTTGCATTGTACTTACTTGCATTTGGAGACGCCTTCATCAATTGTTTTTCTCGCTTACTTTCTCTTTTGGCGTCGAATCTTTGTGCGACGCGTCTGTCACTTCTATTATTTAATTGAACGTCCGGCATTTGAGTTCTTTTTGAAATAAAATAATGATGAACAAAAAGAAAAGAGCGAGAAAAAAAAAAAACAAAAAATTACAGTGCTTATATACTTTTTTTTTTCTTTTGACTCCCACGACAATTAATTTTTTTTTTCTATCTCATGGAAAGCCTTCACCCAGTATTTGTTTTAAAATACTTCTTTGACCAATCCGGGAAAGAAACCTCAAGTGAGTTTAAATTTTAGATCGTTTTTTGGCATGTGATTGGCTGGCTTATATAATCTATCGATTAGATTTTAAGGAGTAACGAAAATATTCCGTGATAAAGAACGGTTTAATAAACAAAAGAAAAGAAATCCATTGGAAGAACGATCCGATAGAAAATAAATTAAATTAGGAATTGACAAATCGATGTGTAAATACGATAATTTATTTAAAAAAAAAAATGTATCTCTAATTATCTGTGCTTGCATGAACAGTTCAGGATCAAAAGACCTCGACGCCTTGTTTTTATAATGATTAGGCATACACATGTTGATTGCGCTTGACCAAGTTATATTATTCACTATAAGATGTAGTTTTGTGAAGCAGAATCAATGGGTCTCGCTACTGTTACTTTTAAAATAACAAGGAGCACCGTGTCGACAGGAAGATTTAATGACTTTATTATTGGTAGTCATAGGAGCGGCGTGTACGGGCAAAGTTTTATTGAAAGCTGTACCTACCCTTGAAATGTTAGTTTTAACATTACCATTTACGCTTACATGACTCAAAAGCAACATCAATATTTCTACCACAAAGACTCCTGCTTTCCAACATATCCATTGCTATTTACATTAGACGTATACACTCGCGATTATTTTCAATGTACTTTGAACACTTTCTTTTAAACAAGAACCTAAAAAGTAAATGTCTTGCAATGTCAAAGTCTATATCTTCGTGAAATCTCTTTTGGCTACACCTATTTTGACAAAGAAAAAAAAAAAAGATAATAGAAGATAAGGCCCAGCTTCATGAATGTATTTTACCAGTGTTTATATGTTATTGTACAAAGTAAATTCTATATGTTCAGTATGTCTATAAGTCAAGTTTCGATATAAATTCAGAAGTACAGCGGCTCCACCCCCAAAGTTCGTTTTCCAATTTCATAAATTCGCTTTTGTCGCAGCCCAAAGTTCGCTTCTTGATTGGTCAAAGTTCGTTTTTTGTAAATCACCCAAATTCGCTTTGGTGGCACCCAAAGTTCGTTTTCACGTCAGAAGAGTTCGCTTTTAAAATTACAGGATTATGAGATAATGTTATGAGAGATAATGTTATGAGAGATAATGTTATGAGAAAAAAAAAATGTTATGAGGAAAAAAAAATGTTATGAGAAAATGTAATGAGAAAATGTTATGAGAAAAAAAAATGTTATGAGAAAATGTTATGAGAAAAAAAAATGTTATGAGGAAAAAAAAATGTTATGAGAAAATGTTATGAGAAAAAAAAATGTTATGAGAAAATGTTATGAGAAAAAAAAATGTTATGAGGAAAAAAAAATGTTATGAGAAAATGTTATGAGAAAAAAAAAATGTTATGAGGAAAAAAAAATGTTATGAGAAAATGTTATGAGAAAAAAAAATGTTATGAGAAAATGTTATGAGAAAATGTTATGAGAAAAAAAATGTTATGAGAAAATGTTATGAGAAAAAAAATGTTATGAGATAATGTTATGAGATAATATGTTGTGACTTTTTTTTTCATAACATTTTTTTTTTCTCATAACATTTTCTCATTTTTTCATAACATTTTTTTTCTCATAACATTTTCTCATAACATTTTTTTTTCTCATAACATTTTCTCATAACATTTTTTTTTCTCATAACATTTTCTCATTACATTTTCTCATAACATTTTTTTTTCCTCATAACATTTTTTTTTTCTCATAACATTTTCTCATAACATTTTCTCATAACATTTTCTCATAACATTTTCTCATAACATTTTTTTTTCCTCATAACATTTTTTTTTTCTCATAACATTTTCTCATAACATTTTTTTTTCTCATAACATTTTCTCATAACATTTTTTTTTCTCATAACATTTTCTCATAACATTTTTTTTCTCATAACATTTTCTCATTACATTTTCTCATAACATTTTTTTTTCCTCATAACATTTTTTTTTTCTCATAACATTTTCTCATAACATTTTTTTTTCTCATAACATTTTCTCATAACATTTTTTTTTCCTCATAACATTTTTTTTTTCTCATAACATTTTCTCATAACATTTTTTTTTCTCATAACATTTTCTCATTACATTTTCTCATAACATTTTTTTTTCCTCATAACATTTTTTTTTTCTCATAACATTTTCTCATAACATTTTTTTTTCTCATAACATTTTCTCATAACATTTTTTTTTCCTCATAACATTTTTTTTTCTCATAACATTTTCTCATAACATTTTTTTTTCTCATAACATTTTCTCATTACATTTTCTCATAACATTTTTTTTTCCTCATAACATTTTTTTTTTCTCATAACATTATCTCTCATAACATTATCTCTCATAACATTATCTCTCATAACATTATCTCATAATCCTGTAATTTTTAAAAGCGAACTCTTCTGACGTGAAAACGAACTTTGGGTGCCACCAAAGCGAATTTGGGTGATTTACAAAAAACGAACTTTGACCAATCAAGAAGCGAACTTTGGGCTGCGACAAAAGCGAATTTATGAAATTGGAAAACGAACTTTGGGGGTGGAGCCGCTGTACTGTCACAAAATGCTTATACACTAGTGTATGGAGATGTAAACAACGTAGAAAAACTTAGAGAACAGAATATCAAGTCCCGTGTTTGAGTAATTACTTGGTAGCCTAGGTTTAAGAGTGGCGCGACATTGGCAAAGGTTACTACAACAGTATTTCTTGCGTATTTGTGGGAAGGAAAAGGCAGTGTCAACGCGCACCTTAGGTGTCGTTTTTTGTTTTTTGAAGAATCTAGTTACATGGCCTTGATGACCATACCCTTTTACCCTGAGTACAATATTATGGAGCTTCTCAAATAGATTACATTGGATGAAACAACAACTGTTCTATGAGTTTTGTCCATCCAGTCGCAAATTTATCTGATAAAACGCAAATGAGAAGAGAAAACCTGATTTTGCCAACATGCTGAAGATTGCTCTACAAACAAAGGAGTGGCGCTTCGCAGGAAAATATAGGCTGCGTAGAATAATGGGTATTATCCTTTTATGAATCATTTGATGGATGATGTAAAAATGCTGATGATGAGAAACACAATGATCATATCCCTATCATGCTATTATATAAAAGTCTGAGGTACGATGTAAAATTACACGAACAAGGGATTGACTTCATATACATTGTGCTATGGAGTATATCCGCTAAAAATTAATAAAAATCCACTCGGTTTTTAAAAAGAGATATCCTCATGTAACATTTGATCCATTGGCAATAATGATACCCAATAATGTCCAAAGCAGAGAACTACTTGTGGATGATATAAATTCACTGAATCCAAAATATTCGTCTCGGACTCCTTATAAGATGTATCGCTTTTTTTTTTTTTTAAAAAAAAAGGAAGAAATCATTTAATCTTTAATGTGGTTTTGATGACTTGCTCAGAAGGTATATCCTCCAGGATACGTGTGACACCTTGTGGAACCCAATGTGATTTCAAGATTTTACAAGACTGAGTCCACAAGGTTGTGGGCGAGATGATATTGGTGAAGGGTATATTTGTTAATAACCGTCGATATAATCTCGATTTCGTTCGTGTTGGAAAATTAAAAGGCCGCTTTACTTTCTTAACATGATCTACAAGTGAAATGTTTGTGATGGTAGCATAAGGTGAATCCATGAGTGTTTGATGGTTTCGGTTTAGTGTGGATCTTTTGGGTAACTTGATAGTAGGATTTAAATGGGTCATGGTGTCAGTAGATAGGTAAAAATCCCATGTGGGTCCACCTGTCAGCAGTGTGCCTGCATACAAAGCATGTCCCACGGTTGCACCTGCTTTTCTTTCTATTTCGCAAATGATTTCAAATGGTAAAGGAAGTTGTACTCTGTCTAATAACATGGATCGATGCTTCCACAATAGATTGGCTTTTCTTCCTGGGTGTAATGGTTTATAGGCTGGTATAGGTAGTTCTGGCTCTAATTTTTTACCCAGATCTTGTTTGATGAGGGCCTGCAAGGGAGGACACAATAAGGGTGGGGGTGCTGTTCGAGGTGCATGGGGCACAAAAGGCTCGGGCAGTTTAAAATCTTTAGGTTGATGGCAGTTCAAAAATGGCTAATAACGGGCAGTAATGATATGAGATTGTGTGTATTCCCCTGTACTTATAAATCAGCAGTTACATACATGAAGTAAAGCATGACGTGTCTTTCCGTTTCGTCCATAAACTTCTTCCAATATTTTTAATGCGCTTTTCTGGTCTCCTCTATTCGCTTGTTCTATCCTATGCAAATGCTTTGAAGGGTGTCAACATGCGATTTCTTTCATTGCTGTTTTCTTCATTATGTCTACCTTACGAGCTTCTCTAATTTTATATTTTACTCTTTCGACGTCTGTACAGGTTTTATATTCTTGCACGACCTTACGTGCTCTATTTTGAATGTACAACCTATGCTGGTATGAGATTCTGTGTACGTGTGTTCATGAGGGTGAAATGGCATTTTGTTACCTGGCTCTATCATCAAAAAACAAGGAAGCCTCTACAAGAATATTCTTGTAAAGTGCCCTGATATAAACTTTATGATTTGGTGGAAACATGATAAAAAACAAAAAAAAGGGAAGGGTAGAACTCAACAAGCCACTTTATTCCTACCCAAAAGGAAAAAAAAAAAAAAAAAAAATGTCTCGAAAAGGAAAGTGATGAAAGGGTTACGCCATTGAATTTGTCAATGACACAGATTTAGGCTGTCACGTGTATGAACAGATGGGCATTCTCTCGTATATATTCTTTCTTTTCTCTCTTCTTCTTCTTTACTCTCTACCCATCTATCTTTTTTAAAAAAATGTCACAACAAATCCCTACTTTAAAACTTTTACTCATTGGTAACTCCAATGTGGGTAAAAGCTCTCTACTTTTAAGATTCACAGATGACACCTTTTTACCTCAAGAAGAAGTTTCTGCTACTATCGGTAAGCTTATCCGTTTTTGCACCCTTGTTTTTTTATAAAGGTTTTTTTTTTAAACTGTTTGTTTCAGGTGTCGATTTCAAAGTGAGCATGATGGAGGTGAATGGAAAAATGTACAAGTTGACTATTTGGGTACAGTTCTTCAAAACAACAAATGAGAGTTTATACTGATACGTTTTTTTTTATAGGATACGGCTGGACAAGAAAGATTTCGTACTTTGACCTCTTCTTACTACAGAGGAGCTCAAGGTGTAATTTTAGGTAATCGATGGGATCCGAAAGAAAGATATAACAGGAAAAAACTAAATAGGATTAATACTAGTGTATGATGTCAGTAATCGAGATACTTTTGACGCATTAAATACGTGGTGGAACGAAGTGAATACCTACTGCTCTAGTCCTGATGTAGTAAAGATGATTGTTGGTAACAAAGTAGACAAGGTAACAAAGGGGAGAGACAGAGAGAGACAAAACCCTATTTAAACTCACGCATGCATATATACATTTTTTTAAAAAAAAAGGAATCTTCTAGAGTGGTCACATATGAAGAAGGAGCCAATTTTGCAAGAAAACTATCTACATTATTCGTTGAATGTAGTGCTAAAACAAAGGTTGGAGTCAAGCAAGCGTTTGAAGAACTCGTTGAAAAGGTAAAAAAATTGATGATTTATGCTGCTTTATCATGGCGTAGTTTTAATTATGAGTTTTTTTTTTGTTATTTTCAAAAAAGATTATTGAAACACCAAGCTTATGGCAGAAAGATTCTGCACCCAACTCTACTGTTAGAATGACTGATGATAATAAACAACAAGGTCCCGCTGATTCTTGTGCTTGTTGAGCATAGTATTTCATTCTCTTTAATTCATATAAACAATTTTACTTTTTTTTTGTCGGAGATATAATTCCTGTGATTTTAATGCAGACATCATTTGGACTGAAACGGAAACATATATTTTCTCTCCTACTGTTTTATTTTTCCACGTCTATTTTATTTTTTATTTTATTTTATATGGTCAAAGTAAAAGAGAGAGAGAGAAAGAAAGATTGAGCCCCGCATAAATGAGCACACTCACCCTTAAAATTAATTTTGTAGAAATTTGGGAAAGGCGCTGAAAAGATCACAGCCAAAAGACCCCCAAGGGCTGATTGGAAAGAAGGCGGGAAAAAGAAACAAGTGGGTGTTTCGGATATGACTTTATTATCTCGAATTACTGACAATGATATCAATGAAAATCTCGCCTTACGCTGGAAAAATGGTGACATTTATGTAAATAATTCGTTATAATCTTATTGTAGTTTCTTTCTTTTTTTTACTCACCAATTGTAGACTTATATCGGCCATGTTCTCATCAGTGTGAACCCGTTTAAAGACCTGGGGATTTATACACAAGAAATATTAGACTCTTATAAAGGAAAAAATTTGCTGGAGGTACATAGAAAAAAGAACACTCACCCCCCCTCCCCTTTGACATCTCTTTCTTTGGGATTTGTAGGTTCCACCACATGTGTTTGCAATTGCCGAAGCAGCATATCACCATATGAATAGCTATAAGGAAAATCAGTGTATAATTATCAGGTATATATATCCACTCTCGTTTTATAACTGTAGCAATCTATATTGATCAAATGAACGCCAGTGGTGAATCGGGTGCCGGTAAAACAGAGGCTGCTAAACAAATCATGCAGTATATTGCTGCTGTCTCTGTTGGTAAAAGTACTGCGATTCAAGAAATCAAGGACATGGTATTGGCCACAAACCCTTTGCTCGAGAGTTTTGGGTGTGCCAAAACCCTGCGAAATGACAACTCGAGTCGACATGTAAGTTAATATATATGAAATTTTATATTGTACCTAAAATGCGGATCTAGGGAAAATACTTGGAAATCCAATTTAATCCGCAAGGTGCACCTGTGGGAGCTGTTATTACAAACTACTTGCTGGAAAAGGTAAAATGAGTGATTTAAAGTTATTCTTACATACTTACTATTGTCATATGTGTAAATGTAAAAATAAAAGAATCGGGTGGTCGGTCAAATTGAAAATGAGAGAAACTTTCACATCTTTTATCAACTAACGAAATCCGCCCCAGATGAATATAAAGAAATGTATGGTTTACAAGGTCCCGAAAGTTTTCTATACACAAGCAGAAGTCTTTGTTTAGATGTGGAAGGTATTGATGATGTGAGCGACTTTCAGGATACCTTGGTAAGTCGAGAAAAAAAAAAACAGCAACGTAAACCTTATTCATCATGTTCGCTATCAATTTTTTTTTTTTAGAGAGCCATGGATGTTATTGGTTTACAAAAGACCGAAAAAGATGATATCTTTAGAATGCTGGCTGTCATATTATGGTTGGGTAATGTAGTTTTTAATGAAAATGAACAAGGTCACGCAGTAGTCTCGGACCCCGATGGTAAAGAGTTTAAGATTTTTGTTGGATGTGATTTATCCCCAATTGACTCCATTTTTTTTTTAATTAGTCGTCAACTTTATTGCATACCTTATACAGGTGGAGTATGAAGACTTGAATAAAGCACTCACTATGCGCATCATGGAAACACAGCATGGTGGTCGTCGAGGCAGTATTTACGAGGTTCCTTTAAACGTGACTCAAGCTCTCGCAGTCCGTGACGCACTTTCCAAATCCATCTATGAGCGTCTCTTTGAATGGATTGTGACACGAGTGAATGTATCGTTGAAAGCAAGGGATACGGTCCAGTATACTATTGGCGTGCTTGATATCTACGGTTTTGAGATTTTCGAAAACAACAGTTTCGAGCAACTCTGTATCAATTACGTGAACGAAAAGCTTCAGCAAATCTTTATCGAGCTTACTTTAAAAGCGGAGCAAGATGAATATGTACAGGAGCGTATTGAATGGACCCCTATCGACTTTTTTAATAATAAGGTGGTATGTGATTTAATTGAGGCAAAGCGACCTCCTGGTATTTTTGCCGCTCTCAATGATGCGTGTGCTACGGCCCATGCAGACTCTGGTGCTGCAGATAATTCGTTTGTACAGCGACTCGGGTTTTTGGCTTCCAATCCGTATTTTGAAGCACGGGGTGGGTCTAAATTCTTGGTGAAGCATTATGCGGGGGATGTAGCCTACGATATTGCAGGTATCACGGATAAGAACAAGGACTCTTTGTTGAAGGATTTATTAGATATGACTGCCAGATCCCAAGACCCTTTTATCTCGACCGTCTTATTCTCGGAACGTATGGATCCGAATTCCAAAAAGAGACCACCAACGGCCAGTGACAAGATCAAGTTCTCTTGTAATGCATTGGTCGAAAAACTCATGATGTGTCATCCAAGTTATATTCGTACCATCAAACCCAATGATCACAAAAGCTCGTCTGAATATGATGCAAAGAGAGTGGGCCATCAGATTAAATATTTGGGACTGTGCGAGAATATACGTGTTCGTCGCGCTGGTTTTGCCTACAGAACAGTAAGTTTTTATATAAATTTATTTTCCTCTTGAAACAAGATGATTAACAGTAAATGACTAGTTGTTTGATAAATTTGTGGAGAGATTCTATTTACTTTGTCCTAGAACAGGGTATGCAGGCGACTATATTTGGCAAGGTGATGCTCGTAGTGGGTGTCTAGAAATCCTCAAACACAACCATATCCCAGCCAATGAATGGCAAATGGGTACTTCCAAAGTATTCATCAAGCATCCCGAAACAGTAACGATCACTCTTTACGTATTGTTTAAACATATAATCATACGTATTTTTTTTTTCTAGATATTTGCATTGGAAGAACTTCGAGATCAATACTGGCACAATATGGCTAGACGTATTCAGAGAGCTTGGCGTGCGCATGTAAGGTATAAGCATCAATGTGCAGCAAAAATTCAACATTACTGGAGACAGAACAAGTACAATATCAAATACCTCCAGTTACGTGATTATGGTCATCAATTATTGGCAGGTCGAAAGGAACGTCGGCGGTTCTCTTTATTAAGCCAACGTATGTTTATGGGTGACTATCTCTCGGTCAGAGAAGGCATGGGTGTAGGTAAATTAATCCAGACCGCCATTCAGCTTAAACCGGGAGAACAAGTCGAGTTTAGTATGAAGGGATCAATGCTTGTTCCTAGAGCCATGCGGTCTAGTGTTCCCAGTCCAAGAATATTTGTTTTGGTAAGTAGTATAAACACAATCGAGATGTTGTACTTGAGAGTAACTGACACACACACACACACACAAAAAAAAAAGACGAACCAAAACTTTCATGTAGTGATTTCTACCAAAAATGGTAGATCGATACAAATGACGGATGAGAAAGTGATATCGCTCGATGTAATTCAAAGTGTAAGCGTATCTACCCTTCGTGATGATTGGGTTGTACTTCATTTAAATGCTTCAACGGATGGTAGCGACTGTATTATATCTTGTGTTTTTAAGACGGAACTGATCACTCGTTTATCTCAACTCACTCAGGGTCGAATCACGGTCAAGGTGGATTCTCAAATTCAATACAGGAAGAAAAGCGGGAAAACAGCCATCATGAAATTTGTCAAGGATGAGAGTATTAAGCAAGGTGATCGATACAAGAGTCACATTGTATCCGTGCCATCGGGCGAGCCACCTACGAGCCGTAAGTATCTACCTCTTTTACAAAATAGAATAGACTTGATTTTGACCTCTAAAAAAATTTTTTTTTGTTAAAGAATCACGACCTCCTGCTTCACGAAAAACAAGAGCTGGGACCGTAACAAATAGTCAATCTAAAGCCAACTCAAACTCACAGACAAATAGATCTATACCTGATATCAAAGTCAGTACGCCTGTAGCAGCTACAGAAGATAACCCATATAATACAGGAAGAAATCCGTTACCCTCTATTCCTGTTCCACCACCACGCAGCCCAACTACGCCATCCTTACCTGTTTATAAGGCAATCTACACTTTTGAGTCTCAAGAAGACAGCGAGCTACCTTTTCAGATAGGTGATACAATGCAAATTATAGAGAAATCTGACAATGGTAATAATATAAGGAGGGGATTTTGAAAGAGAAGGGAGACTTAAAGTTTGAATAGGTTGGTGGCTTGCTCGAATTAAGGACCGAGAGGGTTGGGTGCCCAGTAATTATTTAGAAGAGTGTGTTAAGCCAAGACCACCCCCACCCCCACCCAGAAAATTCCATCCTCCAGTTGTTCCCCAGTAAACTATCACAAAGCAGTATACGGAGTAGGTTCTTTCTGTCGGATTTGACAAAAATAAATAAAAAATAAGAAAAAGGGAAAGCAAATAGTGTTAAGCAGTTCTGATACGTGCTGCAAAAGGTGGCTGTCATGAACCTGGCATTATGAAGCATTTGTCTACTTCCTGGTCAAAAGTGGGGCATCCTCATCTTACTCATGCAGATTTTGAAGTTGAGCTTTACAATGTAGACTTCCCACTAAAGAACTTGCTTCATCGTCTAAATTCCTTTAATTCCTTCAAGTGTTGGCTAGTGCTCTCGCTCTTGACTAGTGAAGTTGACCGTTTGTGTGTCCGTTAGATCTAAATGGGTTTCTTTAAACGTTTTTTTATTCTTCTTGCCACCCAGATTTTTATTGATGACGAGCTTTATTAAAACTATCTTTCCTGCTTCTGACACTCTCGTCAAGTTTATGGTAAACGTTGGGTGAGCTACTCTACTGTATTGATCACTATCTATTTTATTTTTTTATGTAAGACAACAAATGAAAAGACTATTTTAATATTTAAAAAGCACATGTTTTATTTAAAAAAAAAAAAAAAAAAAAGAGATACACACTAGCCACTCTACAAAAGAAGAGTGTTGCCCAGGAATGGCCGCGCGGAGGCTTGTATCTATGCATTCCCTTCTCGAATCTTTTATTTATAAGAAAAGACGAGAGCGTAAAGAGCAGAAAACCTAAAAAAAAACCATACTGATAAGCAGTAGATTACCTTCATTTTGAGAAACTTGCCCCATTATACAAAAAGTATACAGCATCTTTATGGCGGTATAGAAGATGTATAGAAAATCAATAGCGGAAACGGACATGATACACCCCAACGATCACTACAGGATTTATGATGCCGGTAAAGGGGACGCAACACCCACGGGAGAATTTTCCTCACAGCCACAAGATCCAACAACCCACATACTCCCTCCGGTTTTAGACACTTACCCCATTCACATCAAGATATACCATGCAACACTGAAAAGCTCACCAGAAGGTCCCCCAAAGATACTAGACGTCTCCAGGTCACAAAGAGTTCTCTAAAAGATTACTCGCCAGCACATCACTAAGTATAGGCGCCGTTATTAAGTGATGATCGTCTCGAACTTTTTCTAAAAGTTAAAATCTGTCTGTCTTTTATACCTTTTTTTTTTGATTTTTTTTTATCTGTTTCAGCCAAGAATATTAAAATCTCTTCATGTGAGAGAATATTAATTCATTATGACATCAGATAAACAAAGAGTATAGCTTTTGATAAATGTATACAAGTAAAAGCTTACTCTCAATGATGAAAATCCTACACGCATGATGCACTTGCATCTTTTACTTTTGCATGGATAGCGTTTTTATTGTAAAAGATGCTCATTTTCTTTTGAAAATTATTTATGTTTTGTTTACATAATGCTGTAAATAAAATTATCTTACTCCCTACTTTAGTCTACTTTTTTTTTTTTTTTGTGTATCAATAAACATATTCCCTCAATTATAGGGTTGTCAAGATGATCGATCTGTTTCAGCATAGCCTTTCGATCATCTTTTACTAGCTAATAGAACGTAGAAAGTGAATCACAGGCAGCCCATAGATATAGGACTGAGTGACAGCATAAAAGGACAATAGATGACATGAATAACACACGCATGAATAGACTTTCAAAAGTAAAGTGTACCATCAAAAGCCAAATTATAGTTGACCAATCGCATTTCAAGCAACTTGTCTGGAATAGAATACTTAATAAATCCAATGTCGTGTTTCGAGTATATAGATTGAGCATTTTCAGCTGTCAATACATATGATATTGATGGGCTCTTCTTTATACGGTTATGCCTGTAGCTATATTACAAGGATTTGAAGCACAGATGTAATAGCCTTTATCAAAAAAAAAAAAAAAAAAATCTGGTTTTACATTTTTTAACAGTAATGCAAAAAATCGTGGTGCATATTGTTTATTTACTCCCTCTCCTGTCGCTCACGTCTCTTTGCCTAAACACAAAAAAAGTCAGTAGAAAGAAAGACGATTGTGAAAATTGCTTTTGTAATTACATCAAAGAAGGCATCAATATCTTGCTTTGTCACGACCTTTCCCGAATCCTTGAAAGCTTCGAGATAGGTTTTGATGTCGTCCGCTAAAGACTTGTAGGCCATCAAACTTTCTAAAGCCTGAACTCGATCCACGCGTTGAAGTTGTTCCATGCCCACTTCCAATAAGGATTTTCCGGCATCCTCATCTTCTTCAGGCTCAAACGTCTTTTCTTCCGCCAGTAGGTACTCAACATGATGTGTTTTGTAATCCGCCATACACTATGAGAAAGCTTTTGTTAGTGATACAAAAAAAAAAATCGACGAGATCTATAAAAAGGAATTTGCACAATACCTTTGTACATTTACATAATCCTTCACGCCAACCTTCCTGTAAAAAGATCTCAATATTGTCGTGTTCTGGCAGTAAGGATATGTCGACTAATTTTGTGACAGAAAAAAAAAAAAATTAGTTGACATGACATTCCTAGGCATTGGTAGTCTATGCAGATCTTACCATTTTCACATCCTGCTTCTGTTTTTGCTCTTTTAAATGTATTTGGAATAATATCTTCATGTTTCCTCTTTTCACCAATACCAGAAGTTTCTGTTGAACCATTTTCATGGCTAGTTATTTCTGTCGGCACAGTTTCTATTTTAATTTCTTTTGTTGAGAGAATGCCGGATGATCCATCGTGGTTGTTTACATCTGTTGACACAGGCTCCGGTTCCTCTTTTACCAGAGTTTCGGATGATCCCTCCAGATTTATTGTGGGTACTGGTGCAGCTGATGTTGGATCCGCCTTCTGATCAGGACATGTTGTACTGTCTTCTTTCACAGCAGTTTCTGGCTTGGTCTCCACAGAGACGACATCGATAGCTGAGATTTGGCTTGGGGGTAGAATCCATTTTGAAATAGGATCTTTATTCTTTGATAATCCGAGACTGAATCGCTCGTCTTTGCCGTTCATTAAAAACGGATACTTTTTTGTGCAGTCTCTGCATACGTAACATTCAAAATCATCAATAGCGTCGGGAATCTGTCAAAAAAAAAAAAAAAAAAAAAAAAACGCGTTATCAGTAATGACGCGTTTTTTTTTTCGTAGTTCTAAACTTACATCGCCAATACATGTTTCATGAAACCAATCTTCACAGGCAATACACTAAAGAAATGGGTTAGTTTTACAGAGGAAAGAGGGTTGATTTATCTGTGTGTTGAGTATTTTACTTGATACATTGTTCCTTCCTCTTTCTCGGGATCATAATGCTGATCACATCTATTCATCACACAATGTTATCTATCGTGTTCTCCCCTAACTTTTTTTTCGTGAATGAATAAAAAAAAAAATGATAGTTTACCTGCAATAGCGACCTTGAAAATTATGATTGTAGGTGTTCTTGTCATTGGCCTGAATGATTTTTTTGGCAGGAATCGTCAAAGAACAATGGTGACCAGCAAATTTATCCTTGATGCCACAATCACAACGGAAAGCGCGTTTAGGGAACAATTCGAACAATTCATGACTGGCATGACACGCAATGGAACAACTATAACACATGCCGGCGGGTTCTTCTGATTCGGACGAACATGTTTTACAAGCATACAGCGATTGACGTACATAACCTAAAGGAAACGTACACTTTTCAAATTTGCCCGGGAGGATCGACTGTGCTTCTTTTTCGAGTTGTTCTTGTTTTTCAATGTAATCTAGAGCTGTTACGGTGTTTGGGTCTTGTTCTGTCATTTTTTTTATTTATTTAATTTAAACAAGGAGAAAAAAAAAAAAAAAAAAAAGAGAGAGAGAGAATGAAAAGCACAACTCGGTGTTTTAATTAAAAGAAAAAACCTTAAACAGTACGACGCAACAAAAAAAAAAAAGGGCATAAATTAATCTTCATCTTCGGAATCCATATCTTCCCATTCATCCTCTTCCACTGGATTGCTCAGAACTGGTGTCTCGTCTAATCCCATCCGAAGTTGTTCTATACCGAAATCCCCCACGACATTATAACAGTCTTTGATATCGAAATGTTGCAAGGTTTTGCATTGTGTAGTCAGGGTACTGATACCGGCTTCCGTGATGTTCTCGCAGCCAGGTAGATAGAGATGCGTTAATAAGATGAGCTTTGTTGCGATCCAGTCTAATGCTTTATCGGTGATATGGGTCGATCCTAAATACAGCTCTTGGATATAGGGACATTGTACGACTAACGTCTCAATCGCTTCATCGCCAATCAGTGTGCATTGGTCTAGAGACAGCACTCGTAAATCATGCAAAGGCCGTATGATTCTTTTTAAGACCTTGTTTGTTCTATGGTATGTATTAGAAACTTTGAAAACATCATTGCTGATAGAGTATTTGCTTACAGTTGGCTGCATAAACCCAAATTAAGTTGTTCGAGATCATGCGCTTTGTCGGTCAAAGTGTATAGACAATGGTTTATTTTTAAGGAATCCCAACGATGGGGCACCATGTGCAAGTCAATGTCACGCACATAAAGTGCATTGACCTTTGATAATGTGTTTGTAAACGATTGAAAGCTGCTGAATGTCGTAAACTGCGGTGATTTATATAAAAGTGGTATGGTAATCTCGTGAAATTTTTTACAGGTTAAACTTAATTGTAATAAGCTCGCTTGGTCTTTTTTCAAGTAGCTTAAAATTTCAGACAATGTCTCGTAAGGTAAAAGTTTGTCCATGTATGTCAAGTAGAAACAAAAAGGTAATTAACGAAAAAAGAAAAAAAAAAATATTTTTTTTTCATAGGGCTTTTAATTTTTTTTTTTTTTTTAATAATTATTCATCTTCAAAGATTTCAGCGTAATTCTCCAAGATAGTTTGAACGACCTTGGCTTGAAGCTGTGATTCTGCGATACGTTGGTTGTCATGCACAGCAATCATTTGTGCTTGTGATCCTGATTCGCTACTCATCAATGTAAGACCAAAAATGGTTGCTAGATTAGCGGCACCCATCTTGTTGAAGCGTTGGTAAGATTGCACCCTATGATAAGCACACTAAAGTTAAAATCGGTATGGACGTACTATACTCGTTTTAATTCTTACTTGTAAAGATGGCACATCAGGAATTTTAATGTGGCATAATGAGCATCGGATAGCTCATTGATAACCGTATGTAAACCAATGACTCTCGTTCGATCATCTGGCAATTCTACAAAGAATGTCAGATTTTGTCTGCAAAAAGAAAAAAAAAAAAAAGTGACTTACTAGCTGCCTCCAAGAATTGATGATAAGAAGCAGAAGGGAATAACGGGTCTGGTAATTCTCTAAACCAGAGTTTAAGTACACCCGTAACATTGTTTATGTCTGACAGATCCTCTTCAGAAATGGGATTGGGATCGCCACTTTCAAACTTGGATTTGATCTTTTGAATCCTACTGCTTATTCCAGAGATACGGTAAATGCCGACGGAGCTTAAAGCGTATTGCTCCACGACGGTCGCACACCGCTTTAAAATATCAGGCACCATGTCTTCAGACATATCGGCTTGTTGCTCTAAACTTACGCCAAACACTCTATTATTACTGTAATTTGCGTTGGTAGGTAACTAAAAATTGGACAGTTTTTTTTTTCTTTTTGTTAATTTGGGTGGACCTTGGCAACGTCCCAGTTATTTTTTTTTTTGGTTACCATATTTTCCTGTGGAATGATTTCATTCTTTTGAATTTTTCCACTTCGTTCTGTACATAGTCTAACAAATTCAACCCAATCGGCATCCTTGTCTATTTTGGTGATCAATCCTCTTAATCCGTTTCCCTGATCGTTATCTAAAGCCAGGCCATCTTCCGTCAAGGCTTGTTCGTAGGTATATGCGTAACTAGCTAATTGGTATCGTAGAGCAACACTGCATTCATCATCCACTGCTTTTAGGTCCTTTTCAAACAAAAAAAATATATCAGTTGTCCCATTGCAGCTGTAAATTCCTTGCATATATGATTTTACCTTGAGTACTTTGGGTAAATGAGATTCATAGTACTCTGCATGAGTTTGAATCGTCTTTTTCTGCTGTGTCTTGTATTGAGCATCTGCGGCATCCATTTTATTTCTACATTCCACTTCAGTCTTATCAAGCTAATAATAAAAGAGAGCGATGAGTGGAGATGCATAAATTGTTTTTTTTTTTTTATTCGTGAGAAAAGATTTACCTGTGCGGGAGTTCTACTAGATCGAAATAGATTCTTTTTAGCAGGCTGTGTTGGTTCTTGATTTCTTTGTGACACAGCTCTTCCCCATTCCTCATTTGTGTTTTCAAACTTTTGCTTACTCTTAAGAAAGATATGAGATTACTTAACAAGGAGATATACTTTTTTTTTTCTTACTTTTTCTAATAGTAAATCCGAGTCGGATACTAATTTTTCATAATGCATACCAGCATCTTTAATCTTCTTTCGATCCTTTTCGATATTTCGACCCAAGGACAATAAATCCTCTGCCGAATCGGAAATGGAGGCAGCAAATTTGATGCGTTGGTTGCCGATATTTTCATGGACCTTGAGCATGGAGATCCAAACATCACCAAAAGTACTAAAAGGTGTTTTAGAGATACAATGAAAACACATGCCCTTTTTTAGATCGTTTGTATTACCCTGATTTTGGATGTGTCTTGTCAAATGCTTCCGCCGTTGCCTGAGCCACTTTTACCATGTCTCTACCATAACTTTCCTCTAAAAATGCCCTCTTCTTTAAAAATGTTGATATATCCTACATAGATCCTTTTTTCTTTAGGGCCCCATAGTTGTATGTGATGATAGATGGGAGGGACAAAAAAAAAGTTTTCCATACCTTGGTCATTTGTGAATCTCCCTTGACTTTCTCTAATAAAGCATGTAATCCACCCTATCCTGATAATGAGTGATCGTATTTAAGAAAATTCACTGTGATCATGGCTTACCTCTAACTCTGCCATTTGCGTGATCAAATCATTTGACTGAAAACCAGTTTCTGTAAATGAATCCACTGTCATCATTTTTTTTTTTGGAGGTATGTTGATATTTAAAACAAAACAGAAAGAAAGAACAAACAATTAAAAAAAAAAAAAAAGTTCCGTAAAATAAGGAGATAATAACCAGTTTCCTTTTATAGTCGATGAACCTCAATGAAAAAAAATGCACGATATTAATCCTCATCGTCACACAAAACTATTTTTTATTGAAGAAGACCTAACCAATTGGCCATAAATGCATCATGTTTCTCTTGTTGAGCAATGGCATCGGAGGTAGATGGAAGTTGAAATTGGACAGGTACGTTGCTGGTGACAGATAAAGCCATATGCGGTTGTAAATCTTCAATGGCATCTAATTCATTGTGTTCTGGACCATGACTGGATACCCAGCTTCGTGACTCTGGATTAAATATCATGGAATTTCCTACAACGGCTGCATAGCGACTGGGTGCATGACCTTGTCCGCCCGAAATAATCATCGGGCGTCGTCGCGCTGCAGGTCGCTCCAATACCGCATTGACGTTTCCTTCATTGCCTCTCCATGTATGATTTAAAGCATCATATTTCATATTGTTGTATTCTATGTAGTTTGAGAGTTAGTAGATATATTCATTAATTTGCCCCCCCCCTTTTTTTTTTAAAAAAAAAGAATAGACCATACCATTCGTTAAAAGTTCTCTTGTCGGTTGAATTAACTTGACATTATTGGCTTGTGTTCGTGATCTGTTTAAAACAGGAGGTCTGCCTCCTAGCAATCTATCTTCTGTTTTAGCTGGTGGGGTTGATGTATTGAATCTACTATAAACGCTTGGTCTGCCAGATTTATCTTGGGCTTCGGGATAATAGCTCGAGTTGAATTGGCTCAAAACGGTAGGTTTATTAGGTCTATCTGGTATGGTTGAATCATTGTATGCATTCAATCTACTTAACACACTTGGTCGACTGGGTAGCATGGTTCTATTCACCCCATAGTCTTTAGCTCCCTCAAAGGGTGCATTTGGTTCTCCACGTGTATGTTGTTCAAGATGTCTGCTGGGGACAGTAGGTCTACTGTTCACTCTTTGTCTAGGCTCTTTTAAATTACTGGATGTGCTTGGTCCCCTGGGCACACTAGGTGTGTTAATTGGAGCTCTTGCGGTAATTGTTTTTGATCTACCGATATTACTGGTAATATTTTGTCCTGCAGGTCTATTCTGGCTGGAGGACTATACACGTATATATATATAAAGGTTAATCATCTCGTTTGGGGCTTTTTTTTTCTTTCTTCTTTACCTGGACAGGTCTTGTGGCTGTGCCCGTTCTATGTACGGAAGGTGTGTTTCTAATATGAGCAGGTCTTGAAGGCAAGACATTTAAATTATCCATGTTATCTAATCGTGTACAGTATTTGGGAGGAGATTTTGTTTTTGGTCTAGCAATTAAAGTGAATCCAGCTGGACTTTTTCTTTCGGTCATGGTAGAATGCGCAGGTCTAAATTTGGCGTGGTTGAGTGTCAATGGGCCATTGGCCTCACGTGAAGAGGGACCAGCAAAAGGTATTTGCCGGGAAGGGATGGGGATTCTCGGCTGAACTGGTTTGGCCCGCTGTGTCAAACCTGGTGATGGCGTTGAAGGTTTATTATGAATGGGTGTAGGTCTTGCTAACCTGCTTACAAAGTTGGTAGGTGTTTTGAGCTTGGTCAGTTTTGTGGGCTGTTTGATCATGTTGGAGGAAGAAGTGGAGGTCACTGGTTGTGGTAACTTTGCAATGAAGGCCTGGTTTTCGATTGCCAGACCTTGCGTAAAATCATCGTCATCACGTTCTCTTTCGATGCCTGCTAAAAGTGGAGATATGCGTGTCTTTTGGGTCAGAGTTCGTGATGAAGAGATTTGTGGTGAAGCCTTTCTTTGTTCGATCAATGTAGAAAGATGAGCTAAATCTTGGGGGAAGTGAAGACCTGTCATATCATCATCTTCGGTTTCAGGCTCATAGGTGAAGCGCAGTTTTGTAGCTGCGATTGGTGAACGTAAACCCTCGGGAGGTTGCGTGTCAAGCAATGGCTCCTCTTCATCCACAATAAGTTCATCATAAAGGTTTGTGCTGACAGAGCTGATAGAGAAGGAAGCATGATCGGAAAGGTCGATATCGTCATTCCAGTCATCAACTTGGTCTTGCTGTGGTCGTGTTGTTGGTACTATTTGTTGAACTATACCTGGATATTCACTAAAATCAAAGTTAATGGTGGGGGATGTCTTTTGCACGGAAGGAGGCGGTTGATTGTACATGAAGTTATCCAGGCCAGCCAAAGAAATGCCCATAATTGAGGACACGCTTCTGCTGGAAACGGTGGTGCCACTCGTCATACTTGAATTGGTATCGTCGTCTGTATCGTCATCGAGGTACGTGTGGTGATAGGAATGACGGTATCTGTCTGGGATGGATATTTTGTCTGCTTTCCTTTGATATCTAATATCACCGCGTATCGTAAAATTCATGTCTCTCTCCCAATCTTCTCTCTGCCATTCATTTTCTTGATAGTCTATCATTTTACGTTTTTTTTTGCAATTAATAAAATATATATATATATAAAAAAAAAAAAAAATAGAGAGAAAAAGGAAAGAAGCAAACTATAAAAGAACTCCTTTCCAATTTAATTTCAATACAAAGAAACAATCAACCCGAACGGGCTAATTTCCTTTGTTTACAATGTTGACCAAATCTCTATGCCTACCTCTTTTTTACTTTCTTTTGCGCTTTCCATCACCATAGGCAACCCATCAAGTAGCTAGGATTATACGAAAGAATATCTCGAGCAACTCGAGTGAAAACAAAAAATAAAAGTGCCCATCCGATATTCATTTTGCAGAATATAAGGGGGGGGGGGAGGAAGGCAAGGGGAGGCGTAAAATAGATTTCATTGTCTGTGGCAATAATATGGGCTCCTGCAAGACCGGTGTGATGAACGCTCCAAAATAATAATAATAAAAGGGTTCAGATATATGCCACGCCTTTTTCTCAAGTTAAGATAAGCCTGTGCATTTCCCTTAATAAATCATTTTAAAAGGGAGTAGAGAAAGAGAAAAAGATAGAGAGAATATGATTGATCTATAAATAATATACTGACGCTTTTTTTTTTATTTCTCTTTGATATATCCAATTTTATTTTTATTAAAGGTGATTTTAGTTGTTTTCCTTCTCGTATTGTGCAACGAACTTTTCCAAATCAAAATCAGGGCTTTCAACATCGACTACAGCAAAGTAAAGAATAGTTTAGATGTCATAATCTCACCAGACAAAAAAAAAAAAAAAAAACTTACATGTAACAGTTGATGCAGGAGTGTCAACAACACCGGATTGCTTCTTGGCATATGCAAGTCTGGCTTGTTCAATCAAAAGTTCCTTACGGTGGTATTCAGATTCGACCTTCTTTTGCTCAGCTTGCTTTTGCAAAGAGATGTTGTGAGTATAACCATAGAAAAGACCAAAGGCTAAAGCGGACCAACGTCCAACCTGTTAAAACATGTCAATAAAATCTATAAACATAAACACGCTTTTTTTTTTTTCTTTTTCTATTCTTTCTGTTGTTGTTGTGATTCATACATTTGCGACAGCACTGTTAACCATTATATATACTGAGTATTAAAAAAAAAGTAGGGATAAAATACAAAAGAAGAGAGAGGGGTTGATAAATTGACTGTTTCCTGGGGAAGCCCCGATAACCCTGGTGGCGGTCAATTCGCAAAAATAAAAATAAAAAAAAAAATTTGAAAAAAAGAAACTGATACGTCATCAGAGCAATGTGTCAGAGCCTTTTTTTTTTTTTTTTTTTTTTTTTTTTTTTTTTACATAATGTCTGATTATGTGAGATACACTCTCCAATTGAATTTTCAATGGTCCCGCCCCGTCAACACAACTCAGCATTTTAGTCAGCGCAATACCATTCAACAACAACTTTACCGTCTCGGAGATCTGATCCTCTTTCTCAATTACTCGAAGAAGCAGACTCCTACTCTCCAATGTGTTTTAAGAAGTTAAATCTTGAAAAAAAAAACCCCCCACGATGAGTTTCATTGTATACCTGATATTTTCGTTCCATGGCAGAGGATTTGGTCTTTATATTATATGCAGACCAGGAAGCGTTACTAGGACCGATACATACCTCTTAAGCGACAATATCAATGCTTATGGTCGTATTGATCCCCGCGACCTGACGTGTCGCACGTAACGTATTGCTGTAATATCAGTAGTGTGAATAGTTGTGTACCGACATTTATCATTGAGACCTAAGAAATGAGGCGTGTTTGAAATAAGCCAGCGAGTCGATCGGATGGAGGGAATTACTTAAATGTATCTTGTCGTGCTAGTTTAGAAGACGTTCCGGGTTCACTTGGTATTCCGTCTCCATAGTTGCGCTATGAGACCAAGAATACGTATTGGTAGCTTTTGTACAAGGGAATGACAATAAGAGACTTGCCTATAGAAATGAACCTAATGTATAAGAAGCCCTCTATCTGCGTCAAGCACGTGAGAGAACGAAAAGTGATTGCACTTCATTTACTCAGAAGCTAATAATAACCCGAGGAAAAGAAAATTAAGAATGACAATATGTTTACATTTACAGTTGTGTATTCTATGGTAGTCATCCATACACGGTATTTAAACCGGCAGCATTTTAAGCGGATCATAGCATATGTCTTAAGAATTTAGATTGGTGAATCCTTTATTTTATTTTCATTCGAATCCTCGGTAAAACTCAGTTACCGAGAATTGTTAACTTACAAGTGCTTTCATGGACAGAGTGACGGATTTTATCACATAATCGCAATGGCCTAATGTTTGGCTTGTGTGGCAACCTCACTGCATGCAGTCGATAATGTTTCTTCTCATTGTAAACAGGCATTGTAAGCAATATACTAGTATTTCTTATGCAGGCAGAAAACCCCAAACAAACAGTCTGTATTTTATCTACTGTCTCTTATGTTGGAAAATCACAAGAAACTAACGACACGATGCAATCAAATATGCAAAATATGGATTTCCATCCAACATATCTTCCTAAAAAAAAAAAAAGTTTGGCTAGAATAATCTAGCCAAAAGATTTTTTTAAGAGAACATACATGGTGTGCATGTGGTGAAGGCACAATGATGCTCCAATAAACATATCTGCGATCATTACATAAAACGATTATGATGTTCGGTATACCATGTTGTCTCACTTTTTTTTTTTTTTTTTTTTTTTAAGGCGACTTGGGAAGTTGATAAATTGGCATTTTTGGGGACATGAATCAGCAAGGGTCGTAAATAAGAATAAATGTAAATGTTTTATTAAAAAATCGGGATTTACGGTTGAATTGGATTTTTAACCATTTTCCCACCGGGCAAGAGGCGTATATCAAATTGGCTGTCCAATAGGAAATATTTGTTTGAATAGTAATGGGCTCAAGACATGAGTTCTTTACTGCTATATTTTGTAGTTATTTTAAATCACGGTTGTATTATAATACGGTCGCGTTCATTTTTTTTTTTTTTTTTTTAATTTGGAGTTATGCTTTTTTTTTTTTAATTTATACTTGCATCAGATTCAGGATAAATGAGCAATCACTGCTTTAAACTACTTGTAGGTGAAATTCAAGCAGACTTTTTTTTTCTTAAAAAAAAAGATTTTAATTAGAATACCAAAAAGACAAGATGATACGGGCTGGTTCTTTTCGCATGCCGTAAAAAAATAAGCTTTATATTTAATATGAATACAGTTGTAAAATCACCAAAGGTTGTACCAAAAAGTTCTCGGTGAATTTGTTAATATTTTTTAATTTATCAATTCATTAAAGCACTCGTATTTAAAAAAATAAATAAAAAATAAAAAACGTCAAATTAAACTAAAGGGAGGGTGTTCTGATTCAAACTAGCTGCATCAGTGTTTTATACTAATAGAATCCCCACTGTAAGAACGAAACAATTTTTTTTTTTTTTTTCGTTTGATTGAGACTAATTGATCTTGTGCGCCATCACAGATGAGCACTGACAAGACTAAAAATATACTAGTCTGGTTTAATAGCCCACCCTATTTCTACTAAAACTCTAATTCTCAAACGATCCTTAAAGCCTCCCAGGATATTAAAGCACACTCACACACAGCCTCAATGGCGGGAATTCAATTCGCTTTAGGGTAAGTTTTGTCTTTCAGAAGCGAACATGAACAGCGCATCTAGTTTTTTTTTTTTTTTTTACTGTAAACATCTCACAGATGTAATGTTGTATACGTAACGCGTTATTGTTTGTAAAAAATAGCAGCTGGCACAAATCGATTACCAGAAGTTTTATGTGAATTCAGCTCAAGTCGCATAATTTTAGTGAAATATTTGAGCGCCGAACTATTTTGTTTGGCTTCTGACGCATATATATATATATATATATATAAAAGAAAGAAAGACATTATTTAAGCGTACAGTTCCGTTGCAATTTGAACGTCTAAAACTGTTGCTAACCGATATTATATTATTGTTGCGTTGAGAGCCTTGTCGTTCAATTTTTCTGCATGTCGATGGAATGAGAGAGAGAGAGAGAGAGTAAAGATCATGTGGATGACATGGCCAAGTGAATTGCTCGTGAATTACTCGTTGTTGTTGTCTCGAAGGTGGCCAAGAAAAGAGTGATAAGAGTGCTGCCTATTTACTATGATAGACAAAATCAGTAATAGTGATATCCCTAAAAGCAATCCGTCTGAATGTAAAGTATTAAAAATAAAAAGGCATTAGGGGGGGAGTTGGAAAACATGTGCAGTGGCCAACCCTTTATTTGCCCCTTTTTTCCTTAAACCTGGTTGGAGAATTCCCCTTTATTATGTGTAATCCTAAAAACGGAGTGAAATTTATTTTTGATGTCAATTTATCTCTCTCTTTCTCTCTTTTCCATTTTTTTGAAAAAAGGGAATGGGCAAAGTAAAAAAGTCAGTAATGAGTGACATTTGTAAGAATAATGTCATTACAGAAGATGTCATTGTCCAACAAGTAAAAACTCGTTACGAGAACAATTTGCTTTACACTCGCATCGGTGATAATGTCTTGATCTCGGTCAATCACAATTCTTACTCGAGCCAAGAATCTCTGGATTATGTTGCAGAATATAAAGATACAACCCTGACAACAAATTCGATCTTACCCGTACATTTGTTCCAAATGGTCAATCAAGTTTATTTACATATGAGAAGAACAGGTATAGATCAGTCCATTTTATTAAGGTACATGAGATAAAAATAGCCCTTTTCTTTATATATATATATAAATATATACATTTGTACTTACATTTGCTACTTAGTGGTGATACAGGCAGTGGAAAAAGTGAAAGCAACTATTCAATTCTTTCACATCTCGTTCAACTCAGTAGCCATAAAAAAGAGTCAAAGATTCAGACTCAAGTATTAAATGTTCAAACTATCCTTAATGCATTTGGGCACTCTTCATCAAAGCAGTCCAGATTTGGAAAGTACATGGAGTTACAATTTAATGAAAGAGGAAAAATGATTGGCTGTAAAATATTGAATTATCTATTGGAAAAAAGAAAGGCAATCACATTAAATATATTCAATATCGTATTGAATGGTGCTTCCATTGAAGAAAAGTCACTGCTTTCAATCAATGATGTATCAACAGAAGAATTCACTGAACAATATGAACAGTTAAAAGCATCATTAAGACACCTGGGTCTCGGGAAAAGATACCATTCCAGAATTATTCAATTGATCACAGCACTGTATCATCTAAATCAATTGCAATTTATCGATGATTTAACCATGCAACAAGAAGCTGCGTATGTAAAGAATGTAGAGTTATTAGAAGTTATATCAGACTTGTTGGGTGTCGATTCAAGATCACTGGAGAATGTCCTGACCTACAAAACCCAATTAATCAAAAAGGATGTTACAACCTTAATTTTGAACGCAGAACAGTCATCAAATCAACGTGACGAATTAATATCAACACTTTACTCATTATTATTTACCTGGCTAATCGAACAATTAAACCTAAAGTTATGCAACGACAATATTCACAACTTTATCGGCATTCTGGATTTACCTGGATCAGAAATTCAGCAAAGTAACAACTTTGATAAGTTTTGCTTAAATTATACAAACGAACGGATTCAAAACTACATCCAAAGATATATCTTTGAATCCATCGGATCCGAATATAAAATGGATGGATTGATGGATTACAGTGGACAGTACAAAAACAATAATGCATGTATCGACCTGTTTGATCAGCCCAGAAATGGATTTATCGACATCATCAACAGCTATTCGAAAAAGTCGAGTCGAATTACGGATAATACAATGATTGAAACCGTATTCAAATATCAGAATGGCAATGAGACGTTCAAGTTGAAGACGGGGTCCAATTATTTCATGATTCAGCATTACAATGGATTACAAACGTATCAACAAAATGGATTTATCGAGTATAACAAGGATCCTTTAAATATCGATTTTATTTCCCTATTTAAAGGTAGTTCCGACATCTCTCCTTCAACCAATTCGTTCATATTAAATTTATTTGCTGATAAAAGTATCACGACGGAATTGCACCCCAAATTTAATGATTCGATTTTAAATGCTCAACAGGTCAATAAACCCAATAGATTACCCTCCATGAGAAGATCCAAGTCGGCTAAACGAAACACCAATCCATCGCAAATAGAAGATAACAAGTCTAAGAAGGTCATACCTGTTGTCCTGTCTCAACTTCGGTCTTCGATTGATGAACTGCTGGCCACATTGGATGAAACCATGCCTTGGTTTGTTTTCTGTCTGAAATACACCAAAAACAATAATTTAGCATTTGATTCTCAGCTAGTGAAAAATCAGGTCCAATCCTTCAATCTCAATTCGATTGCTACCAGATTGAAAACTGGTTCATTTGGAAATATATTTTTACATTCAGAATTTACAGATCGTTACAATGATATCTTGTCTAGTATCGGTATCGAGTTGGATAGATTACCAAGACAGAAATGTCAAGCGGCTATTGATATCTTTGGTTGGTCCAACACAATGGACGCTGTCATTGGAAATACAAAGGTAAAAAAATATAGCCCCGAATCTAGTTTTACCCTTAGAATTTATTTTTAAATTTCTTTTTCTTTCTCTCTTTCTCTCTCTCTCTCTCTCTCTCTCTCTCTCTCTCTCGCTCTCTCTCTCTCTTACACCCCCTTATATTAGATATTTTTGTCAGATTTGGCTTGGAGGCATTTAGAAGATAGTTTACGTGCAGTAGAAAAAGATGATCAAAGAAAACAGAAAGATAACAATATGCTGATGTCCAGAGATATTAGTAACGATGGTCTATCGCATACCTCCTCGGCTTCCATGGCTGATTTAACAAGCTCGTCCGACTATGTCGCTCAAGACAGAAGAGCCATGGCTGCTGCAAATGCTGCTGCTGCTGGTTTACCTATACCCCGTGCATTTAATTCAAATGCTCGTATGTCGTGTTACTCCGAAGACCAAAGCTCGTTTGTTTCTGAAGATCATCGCACTTTTGATACGGATTCCCAAGCGGGTTCGGAGAACTACGATTCCAATGCGTCTGCCTATCTCGAGATGAAGACAATGCCGGTGGCTGTGGTGGAAGAAGAATCCGAAGAAGAGGAGTATAAAATGTCCGGCGTGCGTAAGAAGTGGTTATTCTTTGTCTATCTGATGACATGGTGGGTGCCTACACCTTTCATGGTTTGGTGTGGCCGTATGAAGCGTAAAGATATTCAGATTGCCTGGAGAGAGAAGCTGACACTCTGTATGGTGATCTTCTTTATGTCAGCCTTCATCATTTGGTTCTTGGTGTTTTTCGGAAAATTAATTTGTCCCCACCAAGACGTATTTTCTCAGTCTGAATTACAGGCACATAGTACTTCTGGTAATGCCTATGTCGCTATTCGTGGTGAGGTGTTTGATTTAACTCGCTTTGCTCCTCATCATTGGGCCAATCAAGTGATTCCGACAGGTGCCATTACAGCTTATGCAGGTAAAGACGCAAGTGACCTTTTCCCTGTTCAAGTATCTGCTCTCTGTCAAGGTGTCACTGGCACTGTATCAGATTATGTTTCTTTGGATTACCATTTCAACTTGACTGATCCTAATTCAAATTACCATGATTTCCGCGCCTGGACTGAGGACCCTCGTCCCGATTGGTATTTTGAAAAAATGGTCTATTTGCGTAAGAATTATAAGATTGGTACAATGGGGTATACAGATAAGGATGTTTATCGACAAGCAACTACACCTGTGGATATGAGTGGTGTTCCTAATATTCGTGTCTGGGCCGTTTTAAATTCAAGTATCTACGATCTTACTTATTACGTCAGTGGAGGTCGACGTGTTCAACTCCCTACTGGTATGAATAGCACTGCAGCCAACGGTGTGGATGTTGACTACATGTCGGATGTAGTCGTCAATCTTTTTCGACAAAAATCCGGTGAAGATATCACCAATTACTGGAATGCGCTTCCTCTGGATCCTGAAGTAAGACTTCGACAAGAAGTGTGTCTTCGTAATCTCTTTTATGTCGGCTCCTTGGATCAAAGAAACTCTCCTCAATGTATATTTTCGGAATATCTCTTATTAATCGTCACCGTGTTCCTATGTCTAGTGATTGTATTTAAATTCTTGGCTGCATTGCAATTTACAACCAAACGTGAGCCCCAAAATCACGACAAGTTTGTGATATGTCAGGTGCCGTGCTATACAGAAGGCGAAGAGGAACTGAAAAAGACCATTGATTCGATTGCGGCCTTACATTACGATGACAAGCGAAAGCTTTTGTTTATTATCTGCGATGGTATGATCGTGGGCGGTGGTAATGATCGACCTACTCCTCGTATTGTATTGGATATTTTGGGCGTTAACCCACATGTGGATCCAGAACCTCTCTCCTTTTTATCCGTCGGTGAAGGCCAGAAGCAACATAACATGGCTAAAATCTATTCCGGTCTTTATGAATGCCAAGGTCATGTGGTCCCCTACATTGTTGTATCCAAAGTGGGTAAACCAAGTGAACGTCAAAAGCCTGGTAATCGTGGTAAGCGTGATTCGCAACTGATTTTGATGCGATTCTTAAACAAGGTACATTTTAATTCTCCCATGACACCCATGGAGCTTGAAGTGTATCATCAAATCAAAAATGTCATTGGTGTCAATCCAAGTTTCTATGAGTTTGTGTTGATGGTGGATGCCGATACAGAAGTTATTAGCGATGGTTTGAATCGTTTGGTATCTTCCTTTGTACATGACGCCAAAGTCATTGGTTTATGTGGAGAAACAAAGCTATCCAATGAAAAGGATACGTGGGTTACCATGATCCAGGTGTACGAATATTTCATTTCCCATTACATGATCAAGGCATTTGAATCCTTGTTTGGCTCTGTTACTTGTTTACCCGGTTGTTTCTGTATGTACCGTGTTCGCTCCCCTACCAAAAATCAACCTCTATTAGTTTCTAATCAGGTGATTGACGATTACCAAATCAATCGAGTCGATACGCTTCACAAGAAAAATTTGCTTCATTTAGGTGAAGATCGATACTTGACAACCTTGATTTTAAAACATTTCCCTACCTACAAGACCAAATTTGTACCCGATGCCAAATGTGCTACTAATGCTCCTGATCAGTGGTCCATCTTACTTTCACAACGTCGTCGATGGATTAATTCTACCATTCATAATCTGGGTGAACTTGTGTTCTTGCCTCAGTTGTGTGGTTTCTGTTGTTTCTCCATGCGATTTGTAGTCATGCTTGATTTGATCAGTACGCTTGTACAGCCTGCGATTGTTGGTTATTTATGTTATCTTATTTATACCCTGGCTACGTCCTCTAGTGCGGTGCCTGTCATGTCTATTATCACCATTGCAGGTGTCTATGGTTTACAAGCTATTATCTTTATTCTTCACAAGAAATGGGAACATATCATCTGGATGATTGTCTCCATTTTTGCTATTCCTGTATTCTCACTTTATATTCCAATTTATTCATACTGGCATTTCGATGACTTTTCATGGGGTAATACTCGTGTTGTGCTTGGTGATAAGGGAAAGAAATTAGTAGTAGGTGCAGATGAAGGCAAATTCGATCCCAAATCGATTCCAACCATGTCATGGGAGAAATACGAGGAAGGATTATACTCGGAAGACTGGAATAAAGATGATAACGCGTCGGTGGGGTCTAAAGGCTCAGGGTATACACATAGTAGTTATGTGAGCTATGGAAGCTACGGAAGTAAACAACCCTTACCTCAACAACAACCGCCTAATTATCCGGCCAGTCAATTTTCTTATAATCATCAAATGGCGTCAAGCCAGTCCTTGGTGGGATTACCTCTACAGAATTCCAATTCGTCCGTTTTCCTTAATAATTCAAATGCACACCTTTCCATGATGAGTGGCATGAATCATCTTCAGCCGCAGCCCATGATGGGAGGTTTTACTAACCCTCAATATGCTGCATTTAACAACAATCATCCATCTCCCCTTCATAGATACGAATAATTATCGTACTTTACTTTACATTACTTTTACTTTATATTAATAAATACATTACCCTAAAAATTACCATCTATTTTTCTCCCTCTCAATGTTTTGACCTTGGATCGAAAGTGAAAACGGGACTTTGTCTAAAATGGTAAGCTATCCTTATGGTCACACCCAGGCCGATTGGATCTCACAAAAAAAAAAAAAAAATGCGCGATCTAAATGTGTGTTTAGTGTACATTTTAGAGAGACACCGGTAGCGCTTATTTTTTTTTGTGACCCCTTCCCAAAGAAGATAATCGAAGGATTTTCGTTTGCCCAAAAAGATACGGATAAAAGGATAATTGTTTTCTCTTGCCAAAAACCAGTTTATAAAATTTGATTATCACTTTATAAAAGTTTAGAATTCGTCGTTCAAGATATTGTCTTGGTATACGGCAATAGGATGGAGAGGCTGTTTATATCAGTACAGGCATAAAACATGTCCAAAAATGGGGTTATTGGAACCGTGTAACCTACCCCAAGAAAGCTCATTTATCCATTTGTAACTAATTGTTTTGAAATATCATCTCCTGATGCGAAATAAAGTAGTAATTTTTGCAGCAGTTTCTATTATCATACAAAGAATTATCTAGACATTCTTGCGTATGGTATGGGGGGAGCATAGCAATGTAAAGTAAAAATAAGCCAAGCTATTATTGCTAATGATTCAGCTCTCCGCAAAATGTTGATTTTAATTTTTACAAGGATACTTTTTTTTTATTGCTTTATGAAAAAAGATGGGGGATGGGGGTTATAAATCTATTGTCTAGAGTGATAATGCTGGTTCATTTTATGTTGATGCTGTTGCTGGTATGTCACTTGACTGTTATGATTGTACGCAGGTCCTTGATAAGGATCATATTGTTGTGGTTGTTGATAATTTGGATCAACCATCATCATCTGTTGGCTATTATTAGGATAATACATTGGATACATTGGCATAAATGGCATTTGCTGTTGTTGTTGTTGCGGTGGTGGAGGGGGATGCTTCATAACAGAATTACGTTGATGGTAATTTTGCATACGCTCCCATTCGGCATTTAATTGTTGCTGCTGATGGTAATATTTTTGTTGCTGCTGTTGCTGCTGCTGTGTGGTATGACTATTTGATCTTCTAGGCAACTCAGGTTCACTCTTCATATGTCGAAGTGATTGACGGTGTTGCTGATTATTGAATTGCTGTTGTTGTTGGTAATGCAATTGATGCTGACTGCTTGAGCGGGGCACACCGTTATTGTATAAATTCTCTTCAGAGTTATTTTGATGGTAATGCAAGTAAGGTGAATTGGGCACAGGAGGCGGTGTAGGTACAGTCATTTCGGAAGGAGGCGAGCTGGTCAAGTCCTGCGAGTTTCTTCTGCTACTATTTCTGCTGGACTTCTTCTTCTTTAGATTAGGCGTCGATCGCGATGATCTTACTGTCGGACCTGTGTAACCCGAGTCAATAACACGTGTAGCACTTTCCTCGTAATTTTGACGCAACTTTTTCGTCGACTTTTTTTTTCTGGGCAAGGCGGCATGAGGTGTAGCTTCGTCATCGGCGCTAATCTCACAGTCGGCCTCATCTGCAGCTACCGCATTCATTTCCACCAAGACAGGGGAAGGGGTATCCATCGGTAACGGCGATTCACTGCTTCTAGACTGTTGTTCTTCTATTTGTTCAAGTGTTGAAGTAGAAGAATTAGGTTTGGAGGATGCATAGGAGGATGGTGGTGCGGTCGATTGTCGTGCATGGCTGCTATTGGGACGACTATTGTTAGATTGTGTCATTACAGGAGGAGGAGAAGGAAGAGGAGGTCTGGAGACTACTTTGGGTGTTTCTGTCTCTTCTTTCGGTGGGTGGGGAATAGCTAAAGTAACATGTGTAGGGTTAGGTAAAAATGCAGAAGGCACGGAACGAGGCTGTGTTTTGACGGTGGTTTCCATATATTCATTGTTGTTGACGGGGATTAATTGTGGATTGGCATAATACATTTGTGCAGGATCCATCATTAAACCTGGGTGTGGTAATACGGGCCCGCCAGTAGGCGAAATAGGCGAGATAGGCATCATCGATGGGGGTCCATAAGCTTGTGGAACCATATGTTGAGGATACCCCATCATATTATATTCCTCCTGTTGTTGCTGTTGATTACGTAAAGCTGCTAATTTCACTTGATTTCTATGTCTGTCCTTCATTCTAGAGATCATGGACTCATTTGATTCCACCGTGTTTGCTTCAGAATCGACGCGGTTCGACCAATTATCGATTTTTCGTTGCACTAAAACAGGATTATCGGGTGTACGTCTTTCCATAATAGGTCGTACGCCTTTTGTCATACGGTGTCGCCTTCCTTTATGATTTTCATCCTCGCTGTCGTCTGAAACTTTGGAGTCTTCATCAGAATCCGAAATATCCGAATCTAATACCACTTGTGAAACGTGGTTGGATGAGGCAAAAGTGCTTGTCGGCGCTACTGGTGCTGTATTTGTAGTGATTGTGCTAGTGCTAGTTGGCTTACCAAGAATCGAATCGAACATGGAAGAAGATAATGAGCTACTGTTGTTGTTATGGTTGTCATCCAGCGCTGATAAACCCTTCAAATAATTACTGTAGATGCTGTCGCCCCCTAAAAGGTAACTAGGGGTAACATTACTGTTTATTTTTTTTTGACTGTTGTTGTTTCCTTGTTTAGTGGGGCCCGTCGTCCCTTTGGTGTTATCTTGTTCTATTTCAAGTTGTTGTGAGAGGGCAAGGGCCAATGAGAAATCGTTATCGAGCACTGAATACTCTAATGATATTAAGTTAATTTTATTGAGTTTTTCCCAGATGGTTCCTATTTACATATTGTTTTTTTTTTTACCTTTGGCAACTTTGGCAGCTGGCTTGGGACCTGTTGTTAATTCGACAGGTGATGCGGCGGAGGTTGCTGCTACTGGTTTCGTACCTAATTCGGCAAAAATGTCATCGAACAAACTACCTGAACCAGCAGGCGTTGTTGTAGGATTGTTAAAGTTGCTAGTACCAACGGAAGACGAACTATTCAAATTTAGATTCAAATCTAAGGCAGCAGGCGGTGCTTGCTTAGTAGGTACAGGTGGAACAGAGGATTCCTTTTTATTCTTCTTCTTATAAATGCTTCCCAATTTTAAAAGCCCCATTTTTGTTTATTTATTTTTTTGCTTATTGAAAGAGAAAAGAAAGAGGGAAAATAATACAAAAAAAAAAAAAAATCTTGAAATTGAATAACAGCACAAAAAAAAAAAAAAAAAAAAAAAAAAGATGTTTGTGAGAGGGGGTTTTAATTTGACGTAGGTGTCACCATCAAGGACATCAATTATACTATGACCCACGAGTTATTCCAAAGTGTTTTTTTTGTCTCTCTATTGTAAAACGTGCTATACTCCTTTTGTCATATGCCTTATATTTAATATATATTAAGAATTAGATTTTTATATTTATTGTTCATCTTTATTCTTTTAGGAAACACAGTGATCGATCATCACAGGACTGTGCAGATCTCTCCGTTTGGCGTATAATTTTTTACCGACAGGGGAATGGCAGTTACAACAATAAAGAAATAAAGTGAAAAAAAAAAAAATTATATCTGATGATTTGTCACTCAATCAAGATAACCTCGGCGTAATGAGGTAGTTACTAAATAGGGGTATATGGCTTGCTCGAAAAAAGTATGGGCCTATTTTTTTTTTCAAAAAAAAAACAAGCTGAACAACATGCAAAAATTAATAGTAGTAATTGTTTGTATTATATAATTATATCAGTAAAGGAATCAGTTGATAAAAAAAAGGTATAGCATGATCTATCGATATATATGCATACACATATATATATTTTTTTTGTTTTTTTTTGTTTTTAGTGAGTACCACAAGTCATTAATGACATTAGAGCATGCCAGAAACCACCACGATGTTCTTCCTTGTGTTGTTCATATGAAGGTTGATCTAAGTTACCATGGTTATGAGTGTCAGGCATTTTCTTGTAGGCATCATTTGGCGTATTTGATATAATAGGTGTTGGCATAGTTGGTAATGGTGGCGTAATATTATTAGAATTATTATTATTAGGGTGAGAAGCATGACGCTTCACAGAATTAGGCGTATGGTTTGATCGTCGAGCATAACTAGTTGGCTGAAGCGTAAGTTTCGATTGTTCCTCGCGTGCTTGACGTCTACTTTCACGAGTCTCGGTTCCTTTTCCTCCATTAAGTAACATCCAGTCATATATTCCGTCATCGGAATCACCCATACGACGTAAAACCTTGTTAAATAGTTCTCTCAAGAAGTCATAATCAGGGGATTCTTCAAACCCTAATTTACGTACATACTGTAAATAGATGCCAAACTCCTCTGTTTTATGATTGGGTAAGTAAAAAAAAAATTGTCTAATCATTGGTTCCTTGTTTACCTGGGAATCCATCACACAATTCTTTCACTGGTGTCGTCTGCTTTTTCTCGCCAATACGTTCGTATTTTTGTTTGTTTGTCGCAGCCTTCAGCCCTTGCCAAGGTAGTGATCCTCTCAAGAAATACATAAACACATGGCCAAGTGATTCTAAATCATCTCGTCTTGATTGCTCTGAGAATAAAAAATAAAAAGGTCAGTTAAATCGGAGTTTATAACGTTTGATCAATCTACCCTCCCTCTCTCTCTGTTTGTCTATAGATACAGATTGTTTTACAATAAAGTAAAGCAAAACATCTGCATCATTTTAAATTCAAACAGTAAAGAGGGATATAATCAAATGAAAAAAAAAAATAAAGAAATGGCAGGTAGAAAAATCAGAAATGATTGGGATAAAAAACATACCTCTTCCTAAATGGGTATTAATACTCATGTATCTTGCAGTTCCCGACAAGCTTTTACGTTCTCGGTAAGGTATATGTTGCTTTGTTTTCGGATCACGATATAACTTTGCCATTCCATAATCAATCATAAACACCATGTTTGCATATTTTGTTCCAGGGCGACCAATGAGAAAGTTATCAGGTTTAATATCTCTGTAAATTAAGTTTCTTTCATGAACGCTTTCGACACGGTTGATCTAAAATTAAAAAAATTAGGCGTTTAATTAGTAACCTAGCAACCATGTTAAATAAATAGAATAAAATTACCATTTGCTTAGCCAGCATGGCAACGGTCTTGATGGAATGTTTTCTTCCACACATGTCAAATAAATCTTCCAAGCTCGGGCCGAGTAAATCAATCACAAGAATATTGTGCAATCCTTCTTGGCCAAAGTAATAAGCACTCGGAACACCGGCTGTATGTCCGACAGAAGGGTTAGTCTTTTTAGTGTTTTAAAATCAAATATATATTACGTTACGTAAACCGGCAAGTACTTTATACGTTCTGTATTCATCTCGTAATTGTGGGGCGTCGGATTTTCTTGGCTCAAATTTAATGGCAACAGATTGATTATTTAGTAAGTTGAGCCCTAAATAGATTTTTTTCTGTGTTATTTTATTGCTATTTTTATATAAAAAAATAAAAAAAAATGGTTTTACTGTTGCGCAAAACAAACCTTCATACAGAACTCCAAAACTTCCTTCTCCTAACTTTTTTCCAACTCTATAATGTACTCCAACAATATTGGTAGACGACTGCGAGGAACTTGAAACAGTGCTATTGTTCTTATGCAACGGTGGATGATGAGCAGTCATTCCTCTTTTTTTTTATGTGCTGTGGAAAATAGATTGTTTGTAGATTATTTGCTAATGTCCAATTAGTTGTTTGACGCTAATGAAGCCAAAAAAAAAAAAAAAAAAAAAAAAAAAAGAGAAAAAAAAAAATAGAAGAAAGAGAAAAAGGTGTAAAAAGGGGAAAAAAGAAAGGGGCGAAAATTATATATTCGCACTGAGAGAGAAAAAGTCTGCTGCCAGTGGGTTGGGAGAGCGGGGAATCGTCTTGCAGGGTATTTTTGATAGATGAGGTCACACGTGTTCCTTGTGGGACAAAAAAAGAGAGACTATAAAGGTAGAATGTATTTAACATTGGAAATTAAATTCCATCATCTCCTTATCAAGTCCAATTTCTAACTTGATGCAACTAGATATTATCTACTATTTTATCAATTGGGGATGCTCTACTGTCTTGTTAATGTATATATTCCATCACATACGCTGTTATAGAATGATGCATGAAAAGGTGCAACAAGTTAGATACAACTCCGATGGAATAACAACTTGACAGTGTGTTAAATTGTTCCCAGTTACATCTCCTTAACACCCCTCATATATTATATTTTTTTTCTTTATTCTCCTACTACTATTCAATACAGTATTGTTTGTGCATTAGCCCTTCATTGTAAAAATAGATCCACTAAACATACTATCCCACCACCGCTCGCCTACTCGCTCTAAATTTTAATAAAAAATGGGTTGTGCGTCGTTCTTCAATTGTAAAACTATCACGAGTTTCCGCAAAATACTGCGTTACATTAAATAGTATTTTATTTTATTCAATTTATACTGAATATGTACATTAATCTCCTTGATTCATTTCGTTGCTCGCACACATACACGAGATAGTGTCTGTAGCTCCTCCATCAACCTGAATAATACAACTCTTCATCAAATAGTCCATCCATCAATCTGTAGTGATACTGATCACAGCTTCCATTCTGATGATCATTCCATTTTTGTATTGTCTTGTCTTCAATCTGCAGCAGTTTGCATATGAACTCATCTTCATTATCAATAGGCTCATTTTTATCACGATCCGATTTTCCATACGTCAGGCTGCTTTTGTCCCCATTATACCGCGCTAGAGGTGTCATTTTCTTTGACACAGGAGGCTGTTCCGCATGCACAGCTGATGGTATGTCCACTTGAATAGGATGTCTTGGCTTGAACTCAGAATTCAGTTGCTCAACATATATTTTATTCATCTCGAGAGCAAGTTCCTCGTGTGATACAGGTGCTCTACTAGCTGGATAAGGTGTTAGTGGTGCAGGTACATCTTGAACGAGAGTTTCATTGAAGACTTCGGTTTGCAACCAGTCTTGGTAATTTTCCATGAATGCAGGTTCCAATTCAATATCTTCTTCGTCGTCTAATAAATCCATCTCATACTGATTGAATCCTTCCAAACCTGGTCCGGTCGGTACCGATCCATGTTGAGTATTGACCTCGTCGTGTAGAGGCAGTAAAGATGGTAAATACCTTTCACCGTTGTATACTAGAGTCAAAATGCGTAGACTATTTTCTTGCATCTAAAATGGAACATTAAAAATAATATAAAATAAAAGTAAAATTAACGCGCACACACGCGTGCGCGCAAACAGACATACACAGAAGAAAAAATAAGTTACAAGGGCTTATCTCATGTTTGGCTAGTACAAACCTTTCCTTCTTGTAAATCTTCCTCAAAGTTTATTTTGGATATCCAATCATCCTTTAACAAGGTATGACAATTTAAATAGATGGCTGAAATAATCTTCATGTTTTCTACAAATGGTTTCATGAGTGGGCTTTGATCCGACGTGACACATACAAACAACTTACGAGATCTCCATTTCCTTCCAAGGTAAGGAACTTGGCTTTTCAATAATTTAAGAATATATTGTTCCAAAACCGGGTGAGATATTTTTAGGATACGCTTTAAAATTGCCTAATTTTTTTTTCATATGAGTGAAAGCCAACTTTTTGTGATTTCACAACTTAATTTTTTTACCGATGATTTATATTGCACCAAAAGCATAATGCGGTGAGTTTTGTATTTAGTTAACATTAATAGGATTCTTAAATAATTGATGGTCCAAAACATATTTCGATGATTTGTGTAAGAGTCATCCTTCTTTGTATTAATAACGGTTTCGGGCTCACGATTAATGTTATAGTCAAAGAAGTTATAATAAGGTACATCCGTATGCGCCTTGACTAGATCTGTAATCTCTTGCAATCCAATCATTTTTAGGATTAAAAGTAAACACCCTGAATCTGCCAACAACTGAGACAAGTATTCGAATTTCAAGACATCTGGAAAAAAAAATTGGTTTTTGTTAGTTTAATCATTCATGCCGTCCCACTAAAAGGTCCTTTTACGTGAGGATTTTGTCCATTTCAATAAAATTAGTAAAATGCCCGATATTGCCTTGGAATAAACCTCTCTGTTTCTGGCAACATCCACCTGCTCGAGGTATTCCAGTGTAATGTTTTGTTCCGAATCATTGTTGTCTACTGTGGTCGCCACTGCAGTTAATAACAATTTAAGCAAAACAATAATAATATTTTGTAGATCAGGTATAATTTTCGCCTACATATAATGTTAAATGGATAATAGTTTCCTTTGTTATTCTTAACCGCCCCTTCACCCGCCCCCTATCCTACCCCTCCACCCCTTTTCTTTTTTAACTTACATAAAGTCGTTCAATCAAATCCGTCTCTTCATCCTGCATGATCTCAATTTTCTGACTCTCATTTTTTGAAGAGGATATCCGTTTCCACTTTTGAATGGCATTTGACTTTTCTTGAATCATTTGGTAATTCGACAGGGAAATGTGCATGTGAGAAACAAAGGCTTGACCCGCTTCTTTCACGCCCTGAGGCACTGAAGATCCTTGATGCACAAGAGGTAAAACAAGCGCAGGAGACGCATGCGGGGGATACAGAAAATAATTATAAAGTTGATTATTCTGCTTTTTTGGAAACCCAACACTGGCTGCAGACTTTGGTGGAAAGAGTGTTTGATACAATAGTTCGATCTGATTAGTTGCGTTTAAATAACCCATGCTCTTGGGTAAGGATGATGAGGATGGGTTGACGGTCAAGGAAGGAGAAGGGCATGGGAGAGGTAAACAGGGTGGCTCATAAGCGGGGTATTTTTCGGTGGACTCGTTTTGAAAATGATATAAATCTTGTGGTGTACTCTTTATCGTTTGACTGTTATCTACGGTCAACCCCAACGACTGTTTGGCTCGATGTGTTAATAACTTTATATCTTTTAATCCTCCCGACATGAATAATAATGATTTCCATAGCAATAGGACGATTTTCTTAATAGGGTAAGATCCATCTAATTTATCTCGTAAGCTTGCCACAAATGTAAACAAAAATTCTGTTAAATTTGGTTCCATTGCAATGATTTCTTGTTTAAATTTTTCGCTGGATTTTGTTGGATATTGAAATCTTTGGGTTTCCAATAAAACATATAACAATGTTAAATAAAAATCTATTTCGAGCACACTTTTTTTTTACATAGATATCTCACTTAGTCTTCCTGTTTACTTTACAATTAATTTGCTAACCTGTTGATACATGCTTGTCGTAATCTTTGATAGAACAAATGAAACGCACCACACTCAATCAATATATTGTTATTACGAATCACATTTCCCATCCGTTTCTGCCTTGATTCTTTCGTGCTGGTTGTGAATTGACCGAGTGAGATATAAATGAGAAGCTTGCACGATCTCATTCGACAATCTCTATCCGAGGAATCTAATTTATCTAACAGAGAAAGAATGTCTTGTCGAGTGATTTCAACATATTCCTTTTCGTATAATCTACGATACTCTTGCAGTGAAACGGTTACTTCGGTATAGCTGAAAAAGTCATTGATTTCATTTTCAAACGTATCAGAATCGCAATTGTACTCATATTCTCCATGCTCGTGCTATAGTAGGTACAAGTTAATTTCTTTTTATGGGTCCTTTCCCTTCACATACTTTGGCTTTTCCGGGTAGATTCTCCACAATTTTTCGTAAACTGCCAGGCGTTAATATGGGATCTTGATAATCTGAATCCTGCTTTTGTGACATTGTGAGTTTTGAAATAAGACAAGTAAGAGAACAAGGAAATAAAAAAAACAAAAAAGAAGGAAACAGAAAAAGAGAGAGTTACGTTATCAAATAGGGGACATGCTCGTGACTTGGCTCTTTTTTTTCTCGCATCTGTTTGAAGCATGTACTGATTTGCAATGACACGACATTATGCTCAGAATAAGAGACTTTTTTTTTTTTTTTTTTTTTTTTTTTTTTAAAAAAAATAAAAGAGGTGTTTCAGCAATAAGGGACACTGCGGGTTTGAAAATGAAACGTTTGAAGATAAAGAAATGCTTCGACGATAAGAGATTCAGGGCAGCGAGATCAGTCAAATAGGCTCCGATGTCGTGACTTGAACCTTAACAATAAAGGCAGGTCGTTGAGTACGATAAAAAGACGCGAACCTACATAAAACATACCATCATTATAATTTAATAGAAATATCAGTTTAATTAATCTGTAATTTATCTTGTTTTAATCAATATACCAAACATAAAATTGGAACAAATTTTTCGTCGAGGTATGTATTTCGACTAATATTGCAAACTTGATTTATAAGCTCATGAACTCTGGTCAATAACAGATAAACAATCCTATTAAAGTTAGATATAACAAAATGATTTTACCCTTGATATTTGCTGAACATCTTTTGGACCTCGAAAATAAAGTTGGCATAGTTCGATAAATAGCAGCTTTTATTTACTATCACTGTCATTTATAACGAGAGCTAGTGTAACAGTTTTGTCGTTCTGATATATTTTTTAAACATTTTCTTTTAGCTACAGTTCATTTGTTTCCAGGCAGCTATTTAGAAATAAAACGTGTATAAAAGTGTATATTGGATTACATACACTGACGTGATGGAAGCTTATTCTTGCACCTTTTCTAATGTCAAGTGATCAAGTAATTCACAGTCAGATATCCGATTGCTTGCAAAGAACGTATTCACTTTTTTGATGTTTCCCGTTACGAAAATATTTAAATTTAAGAAGTTTTGCTAAATTATACCATTACAATTGACAGTTTTTGCATGCAACATGTATGTATAGAGGTATTGGATTTACTATTAAATCATAAACAAATAAGTAAAAAAGGCTAATGTCCGTATAAGCGAAGCTTTTTGTATCTGTAAGACTACAATGATGGTCGACATAATCGTCTTTTGTTGCAACAATTGCTCATGATATTAATACTCCGGTTGCCACTTTAAAAAGAAAAAACTTTTTATTCGTTGTGTTGCTTCTTTTTTTATTCAAACCTATACAAAAAAAAAAAAATGAAGTCTGTTCGTGTTAACAATGTTGAAGATTTTGATGCCCAAGTCAACAAGGCAGTTGAGAGTGGTAACCCCGTTTTTGTCTTGTTCTTTGGAACAGAAGAAGCCGAGACCTCTGAATCTTGGTGTCCCGATTGTGTCATTGCCGATCCTCTTGTTCGCAAGGCACTTCTTCAAGTCAAGGACTCTATTCTTTTAGAAGCTCCCGTCGGTAGCCGTAACGAATGGAAGGGTAACACCACTCACCCCTATCGTGTCCGTTTCAATGTGCCTGCTCTTCCCACTCTTTACAAGTGGTCTGCTGTAAGTAGTGTTTTACGTAATCATATATGTCTGTAAACTCATGTTTTCTGTTTCATAGGCTGGTGCTGGTGAAACTTTGGTTGAAGAGGACTGTGCTGACTATGAGAAGCTTACTAAGTTTGTCCAAAACTAAATGGACGTGAGAATGTAAAGTAGATACGGGCTGTTACCTCGTAGTAATGTATAAAAATAAAAAAACATGAAAGCGTTTGATCTAGAATATTGGATTAGCTGATACATTAATCCCCAATATTGGTAATTTGAAGGCGAGGATCTAATGCCTTTTCAAGAATTGTGTGTGATTTACGAGTTTGTGAGATCTGGATAGCCGATGTAACAACGCGTACAAGTTACATACTTTTTGAGCCTTCCCTCGACGGTGTTTAAACCTATTGTTCTTTTTTCTAAAATGAAAAAAAAAAGTTGAGCTTATACAAAAGAAATCCCTGTCATAGGTCCTTTGTAAAATAGCTGAGTCAATACGATACCAGAATAACATTCCTTATAAACAGAATATATCGCATGTCATTACAGAATGGAAAGGATGATGAAAAATTCTGATCATCCATGAGATCGTACATGATACAATGGAGTACACGATAAGCCTATTGAATAAAAAAGTTAGTGACTCAGAGAAGCTGTGGGTAAGACACGATCGTCAACAGGGGGGGAAATTGGTGGGAATACCATTTTTATATTTTCAGGCACAGACCTTTTCACATAAAGTCTCGCTCTACGGGATAATTTTAAATTTTCCCTCTTTCTTTCCCTTCCCTTTACAAACATGTCTGAAAATATGATTGAATTAATCAACAAGATCCAAGATGCCTTCACGACCATTGGAGGCAATGAAAGTTTAGATCTACCGCAAATTATCACGGTCGGTGAGCAAAGTTCAGGAAAGTCGTCCGTCTTGGAACACATTGTCCAGCGCGATTTCCTGCCTCGAGGCAGCGGTATCGTCACACGTCGACCTCTTGTTTTACAGCTCGTCACGATTCGTAATAATGCCGAGGCATACGACTATGCAGAGTTCTTACATTTACCCCAACAAAAGTTTTTCGATTTCAACGATGTTAGAGCAGAAATCGTTCGAGAGACCGATCGTGTCGCTGGATCCAACAAGGGAATTTCAAGAACTCCCATTCATTTGAAGATTTATTCGAAAAACGTACTCAATTTGACCATCATTGATTTACCGGGATTAACAAAGGTAATTAACCCCTTTTTTAAGTTTTTTTTATTGGGTAAAATGACTAAATGATTATATCATAGATTCCATTAGGTAACCATTAAATTACATGTAAAAACCTCCGATGCTAACGTTATGTCATAGGTGATCAACCTCACGATATTGATGCTCAGATTAGACAATTAGTAGTAGATTATATTTCAAAGGTCAACAGGTAAGACGGAGAACAGAGAAAGGAAAGGGTAAAGAGAGACGTCTTCATTAGAGGTAACACTGGTATTCTATAGTATCATTCTAGCTGTAACCCCTGCAAACACTGATTTGGCCAACTCCGATAGTCTGAAGCTAGCAAGACAAGTAGATCCAACCGGCAAGAGAACGATAGGAGTACTGACAAAGCTGGATTTGATGGATGCTGGAACACATGCATTGGATGTCTTGACTGGCAAGTCTTTTCCTTTAAAATTAGGGTTTATTGGGCTGGTTAATCGTAGCCAACAAGACATCATCACGAACAAATCTTTGGATGATGCTGTGAAATCTGAGCAACTGTTCTTCCAGTCTCATCCTTCGTATCGAAATATGTCTCAGAGATGTGGATCCTTGTTCTTGTCTAAGCAATTAAATCAAGTAAGTATGTCTATCTATGTCTGTGCTTACAGCTAAAAAAAATTGTTCTGTAGATTCTTGTAAATCATATCCGTGAAAAGTTACCAGACTTGCGATCGAAATTAAGCACGTTGATAGGACAAACGCAGCATGAATTATCACAATACGGCGATCCTGCATTTGCAGGATCCATTCATAGGGTAAAATATATGTAGGAAGGAAAAGAAAGAAAAAGGAAAGTGTCGAAATATGTCGCCTAACCCTGTTCTGTAAAACTAGGGTTCGCTTATTTTGAAATTACTCACGATGTTCTCGACCGAATTCGTATCGTCGATTGATGGCACATCTTCACATATCTCCACCAAAGAGTTATCAGGAGGAGCACGCATTTATTTCATTTTCAATTCAATTTTTGGTACGGCGTTAGATTCTATTCAACCATGCGCCAATTTGACGGATCAAGATATCCGTACAGCCATCCGAAACTCTACAGGCCCTCGATGTTCGTTGTTTGTTCCGGAAATGGCATTTGATTTGTTGGTACGACCCCAAATCCGATTATTAGAAGCGCCTAGTTTACGTTGTGTCAATCTTGCGTACGAAGAGCTGTCAAAGATCTGTCACACTTGTGGAAGTAAAGAAATTTCAAGATTCCCCAAATTGCACACGAAATTGGTAGAAGTGGTATCTGAATTACTTCAAGAGAGATCTGGCCCTTCTTCGGAATATGTCGAGAGTTTAATCGCAATAGAATGTGCCTATATCAATACGAATCACCCTGATTTTCCTGGTGCAGCAGGTGCCTTGGAGGAGATGCAAAAGAAGCACAAGGAAATGGAAAAGTCGGAAAAGAAGCGACTTGCGCGACAACAAATGATGATGACGATGAATGGTAGTGATCCTATTACGTCGTCTTCTATGGGCACAAGAACACATCGCTCCATGTCTATTTCCTCTGTCACCTCGTCCTCTTCTCCACCCAAGGATTCATTTTTAAATTATTTTTTCAACGGAAAGAATGAGGGATCAAAACCATCAGGGTTATCACAATTATTATCCGTGGAGGAAGATGCTGGATTGGAGAAGCATTTTGCTAGCAGTGTTTCTGTGATGCATCACGAAATGCAGCAAGATATGAAATTAAAGAGTACAGATAAAGATGATAAAGAAGTAGAGTTAATCCGTAAGTTTTGATAGTGGGGAACAAACTGTCATCATGCGAAAATTAAATTCATCTAATTTTTTATTTTTTATAAGGCTATTTGATCACATCTTATTTTAATATAATTCGAAAATCTATTCAAGATCTAGTTCCTAAGGCGATTATGCACCTGTTAGTTAATTTTACAAGAGAAACTGTACAAAATCGATTAGTTTCATCATTGTATCGTGAGGAATTGTTCGATCAACTTTTAAAAGAGGACCCTGCTATTGCTTCTGAAAGAGAAAGATGTAAAGCCATGTTGGACATTTATAAAAACGTCTTTACACTTATAAGCGAAGCCATGTAAAAAAGAGATAGAATATGATGATGATCTGTATATATAGAACCACCCTACACCACGCATATAATATTTTTTTAATAAAGTTACAAACAGAATAGAGGATTGTTTAATACACATTATTTAGTAGTAACATATTGAAAAAAAAAGGCGCGATAATAAAAATAATAAGAATAATAGAATATATATGTATAGTAATAGTAGTAATAGCAGCAATAAAAAAGAGAAAGCAATTATTTTTTTGTCAGGCTAGGTATCCAAGACGTTCTCCTTTGCTTTGAAGGTGTAGGTATGGGTGTACTTTGAGTAGTAATATTCAATGATTTGGGAAGTCCGAAATGATACTTTGACAATAGCGTATTTTGTGTCAATGTTTTGGTTGACGGGGACACAGGGCTATTATTTTCGCTTTTGGATTTCCGATTTCTTAAATCGGCCAACAATTGAATATAGTGCTTTATAAAGTACCTTGAATTCAGGTCTGACATGTCTTGATCTACATTATCTTGTAGTGATAGTAGTATAAGATCAGAAGGTATCTAAATTGATATTATTAGATTCCACGTCTTTTTTTTTTATATTTTTTTGCTACTCACAATCGAAATTTGATCTGCCTCTCTTATTAAAATCTCAATGACATTAATTTCATCTTGTGCCTCTTTCTTTACATCTGCAGTGGTAGGTGCAGCTAGGGAAGTTTTATCATACAATACATTGGGCGCAATAACGCGTGCTAAATTTGGAATATCCATCTTGTTAGTGTCACTAAAAGTCGCAACCCATTTAAGGGTAGAAAAGATCAATAGCATAGTATCACGATTCGGCTTTGGTAATAAACAGCATGCAAGATGCAATGTTCTTTTTCGTTCTTGTAAAGGCTCGATTTTTCCACATTGAACAAATACTTTGTACAATGGGTAGGTCATGAGCGGCTCGGGTAATTCTCGTAAATAGCGTTTCAACAGCGATGCTAATTGGACCGAGTTCTCTTTTAGCAATAGTCTTTCCAGGTTTTCCACATTATCATTATCAATTTCATTGGCTAGGGTTCTTAATTGCCGTATATTTCCATTCTTTCGAAATACGCCTTCAATCGACATGTCTGGTTGTGTATAAACAAAAAAAAAACCAATAAAAAAAACTTTTTTTAATGCATATTTCTTTTAATAGTTTTTGTTCAAATGTACCTGATTGTAATATAGCCATAATACAACTTTTTACAAAAGCAGGTATCAATGCATGATCTGAAAAACTTGCAGCGATGACTGGAGTTAAGTCACGTAAGGTTACACCTACTTTCGTTCCATTTTCTTGTTGCCTGTCCTTTTTCAAAAGTGTCGATAATGGCACGCCAAACGTTTTGAATTCGCTGGTATGAGTGGTATTTAAAGTGGTAGTGGAATTCGTAGCATGCATGTTGGTTGTTTTGATATGTGTGATTAACTTTCCCCAGAGGGCTGAAGCAGGATTATGATGATGATGATGATGATGTTGGTGGTGCTGGGATTCCACTAGGATGGTTTGTTTTTTAATTTGTTTTTTAGGCTTTTTAATTTCAATCAGATCAATCAATTCGTCCAGTGTAAAGTTAGGGTTTAATAAAGGATGTAGGGTAATGACAGCAACATGACGAACAATGAAATCTTGGGTCTGCGTTAATGTTGATAGATACATGGTCTTTGTTGTCGGATGTCCCATATTATCCAAGGTCAATATTGAGGCTCGTCTGGCTTCTCTTCTTTTATCAAATACCCCTTGTAATGATAGACGCTGCTTATTGTTACCCGATGTTTGACTGACTGTGCTGAACGTACGTCGAATGCTAGTGGTTAATCTATTTGTTGTCTTTGGCATGGCTGAAACAGGTGATAAAGCGGTGGGTGATAAAGTGGTGGGTGATAAAGTGGTGGGTGATGACTGTGGTGAATGACACGTATTTTCTGTTGATATCATGAGGTTTGTGTTCTTTTTTTTGCTATAATGTGGAGATGCGTCTTGCAGCGTAGTACATTGAACTTGGCCGAGCTGGACTGAATCTAGTCTGTTGATTGACGGCTTTCGTGAGGGTTGAGATCGATGTCCACCCAACATTCTTAAAATCGAACGTTGTCTTTTTGTCTCTGGCACGAGTATTTCGTTGGGTGATTTTTTTGCGCCTATAAATGAGGAAGAAGATGAAGAAGCGGAAGAACTGAATGATAATTTCGATAGATACAATTTGAGGTTGAATAGGTATTGCTGTAAGAGCGTAACATGTGTACAAGTTTGTGTATCCTCATTTTGTTGCTGTTGTGTGCAACAGGTCTGGCAATATAGTGTGGTATCTACTAACAGGGCGGATTTTTCATTTAATGGAACTGAGCATCGAGAACAATGAAAGCATAAGGGGTGCCATTTTAATTGCTGGGCATCGTTTCCATAGCAATCGGTTTCTTCAATCGTAAGATGACATGAATTACATTGGCCGGCGGTTGTGTCCATTTTTGCTGTGGTGGGTGGATCTTTAAACCAATATCTGCCTGCTATCCAAACTCGTTTCTTTTCCAATTCCAAGAGTTGATTTAAAAATTCTGGTATCGCATTTTGAATTCCAAGGTCTCGTTCCTTTTTAGTTTTTTAAATTATATATATATAAAAAAAAAAAAAAAAAATGAGTTTTTATTTAAAAAAAAAAAGAATATGAAATAATAACAATAAAAAGATAGCAAAGAAGAGAAAGTAACAGGCTAATAAGGAAATAAAGATATATAAAAAAAAAAAGAAGATTCTTACCAAATGTAATGCAGCGGAAAGTCCAATTCTAATTAAAGATTTCAAATTTTGAGCTAATCCAGTGACGAGTGAGAGCAGTTCTTGTGTAATTCCAATATCAGATTTCGATGGTACTGTTAATAATTGAAAGAATCGAATCATTTGTTTACATACAAGATTTGCTTCCGTGTCACAATGCAAATGAGGACCAACGGTATCTAAAGCAGAGAATAACACATCCAAATGCATAATAAACTGATTAGCCATTCTTATACCTTCCATGTAAGCACCTGCTGCCACATTTAATAACATGTCAGATATACAATTAGCAGATGATTCTTCAAAAGAGGATAGATCGGTCCATACGCGTGTTACTTTTTCTTCCACTTGAATTTGAATCTCTACTAGTTTGGAGGTATCTGAATCGATGGGTTAGTGTGATGTAAGAAACACAAAAGAAAACTAACCTTGTGTGGGTGGAACGGGTGCTAGCTTTATACCCCAGAACTTGAAAATCATGTAACATTCTGGGTGCCATATTTTATCCGGAATATCTCGATGTTCGACAAACTGCTTTAAAATGGCCTGATCGCAGCCATTGCAATGTGTGTCCGGTAATAATGAATAATGGATTCGACAGTAACTTGTTCCCTTAAACTCGTATTGTGAAATTGTTGGTGTAACGCACGAAGGACATTGAATACATTGAGGGTGAAATTTTTGTTCTGGAGTAGTAATTGGTTTATTACATTTTAAACAAATTAAACCTAATCGTTTCATATGATCAAATTCACATAAGACGAGTCGTTTTCTATTACGTGCTTTGGATGATTGCTCTTCAATGATTGGGTAATATTTATCGGCTACTGGTTGTTGACAATCCTAAATTTGTTATATGTTAATATCCCCTTGCTACCAAAAGAGATAGGAGCCCCTTTTTTTATAATTATACACACACAAGCGCGCGCGCGCGCGTGCGCCCCTGCCATCTCCTATAATTATTACCTCACAAATAAAGCATTTATAGTGATATACATTGTTAAATGCTCTAACAAAATCACCTTCCTCTCTTAAACAGCTTTGATTACATTTGGGGCATATGGGTATCGATCTTCTGTGTAGATTTCGTGGTGGTAATTCAAGCTGTTGCTTTTCTACATATTGCTGAGACATTGCAAAAAAAAACAAGGAAAAGAAAAGGAAAAAGAAAGAGAGTTGATGAAAAATAAAATAAATAATAAAATTTAAAAGAGAGAAAATAAAAAAAAAAATAAAAAAAAATGCAAATATTTGACAAACAAGGGGGAGGCTTGTTTATATTTGTTGCCAATTTATTACATCTCTTGATTCATCCTATTTAATCTATCTAAAGCGCTTTCCCTTCTTTCTTTTACACTAGCAATGGCTCTCCGTTTTGTTGAGAGAGACTTTTGGCTGTGTTACACCCCCAACTAAGCTTTTCACAGTGCTCGAACAACACCCCCATAAACGATAGTTTAGTAAGGGAGAAACTCTTCTGGGTGCATTTCGCTTCCAAAACTATCCTTACCTTTTTTTTGGTTCGACCGCGTTTAGTCATTGTTATTTTTAAATTATCTCTTTCATGTCGCACAAATGTTCCCAATGACCTGACCATGCCGATAAATAGTTACGTATCTGGGTTTCCCACCTTATTTTAGAAACTCAGTCTTTTAATTGAAAATCGATTCCCTCATGAACCTCCATGGAAGAGAATTTTGACATGGTTAGCAATGCAACGTGTGCCAACAGTCACTTGTACAATGTGTTGACAAATTAATAAAACACCTTATTATTAAATACGAGACAAAGTCTAAGGAAGGGTCTTCAATCGAGAGATATCGCACATATACCATCCAATTAGCCAAAAAAAAACATATGTTAAAGACTCTATTTGCTGTAGGCATTATTTAATATAGCCTGTCAAACAACTGGTATCACTTCAAAGCCACAAACACGAGAGTAATTAAGTTCATTGTAGTATCAATTCCATAGATCATAGGCCGATCAGCTGTTCTCGATGAAATCAGCAAAAAGCCTAAATATGTGTGTGATGTACAATATTTGAAACTGAGCATTTGACAGTAAGTCCGCGAGAGAGATTTGTACACTGTCGATGCAAGAGACCGGGAATAACACCCACCTAGAAGATAGGCCACATTGTGGTAAAGTCTCCGTAAAGAAACCCAAATGTGAAAAAAATGAATAGACTACGATGATGTGCACTTCTGGAAGCAATGTGCTTTAGCACATCAAGTTTATTAGAATTATCATTCTTTGCAGACAGGCTGGGACTAAGAAGGTTAATTTCGCCAAAACAATGTTCCACTTCTGCACGTAGTACATCTATCACTATTCCGATCTTATATTCTTTTATTATTTTGACATTTCCTGCTCTAATAGTAGTAGTACACGGAATTCGAGAGATTTCTTATTTGATTTACATAAGCCTGTAGTTAGCTAAGATCTTGTTGAAGTCATAATAAAAAAGCTATGTTTATAGTGCTTTTCTTTTTGGCTTTCAAATAGTGAATTCTGCCGAGAATGTTGCATAAAGCAACTGTTGTTGTTGAATTTAGCTGTCCTACAGAGAAAACGATAGCCAATGGTTGATAAACCATAATCAATGTCTAGCATGTCGGTTATTATGAACGGAGTGACCCTATTTTGAAAATTCGGCAAGTACATTGTTAGAAGATCAAGCATGACATATATTCTTTGATTACTTTTCTTAGCATGCATTATTATTGGCCACGTTAAAAGAGAGAACATGTTTTCTGTCTTCGAAAGATGGCACAAAAGGGAGCAATCACATCTCCAAGTGGGCTCCCCATAGCCATATACGTATTTTCTACTGCGTGTTTGAAGAATATGAGCAGGCATATCCCAAACTCGTGCTAATTTTACAAAGTGAAAAATTAAGGTTTTAAGACATGCATATTAGTGCTCATCATCACGGTCAAATATTAAAAATGGATGAAACGTCTTTGTTTTGTGACCAATCTACCATTTAATCTTGTCGATCCGAAAATTAGATGCATGCAAGCCGATTACTTTCCAAAGGTCCTATTCACCATGAGTAAAACCAGGAGTCAAAGCATGATTTGTAAGTGGTCTTAATATCAAACATAAGTGAGGATTTGTATTTTCGGGGTTTTCTATGTTCTATTTCATCTGATATAGTTGTCATTTCGAAAGGTAAAACTTTCTCAAAGTGCGCAAACACAAAAATTGGTTTCAAACCAAACGAAACCCCGGAGAAGGGAGAAGGGGAAGGGATTACACATGCAGCTTAATATTATAAACAATTGTATTGCTTCTGTTAACAAAAACAGTAACACGATACGTCTGGATTTCAAGCTTATGATAATTTGGCCAAGAAGAAATAGGGCTCTTTATAATCTTTTATTTTGTAGGTCCCTTTTTTTATATATACGGATGTAATGGGAACGTAAAACTGATGTTTCGCTGGACCCATAAATGATGTAGGCAATTTTTTTTAGACTTCCAAGAGGGCATTGTTAAGTGACACGTGCTTACATAATACGCCATTCCTCTAAATGTAAATGGCGTAAACGGTATGTTTGTAAACAATCAATTACCTCATCATGGCATGAATTCGTTCTTGTTTATCACTTTTATTATAAATAAATAAAAAGAAGAAAAGGTTTCTTTTTCCCTTCTTGTTTTTATATGTATACATAATTTTGTTTTTTAAATCACACTGAGTACGCCGTTTAAGGATATTCTCTTCTTTGGCTGCAATTTATACTGATTAGCTTCACTATAGAAACACGGCATCTACCAAACATGTACTGGATCGGCTATATTTATTATGTAGTGCCTCCTGCATCCAATCCCACCCAACACTAGGTATCTATCTTGTGGGATACCCATTTATCGTATTGGGCAAGTTATATAAAAATGGCTTGGGTTTGATATGCCGCCCTCTTTTATGGGAAAGTATACTATCGAGATGAAAGAATAAGTCCCATAGCACGAAAGCGTACCCCTCTCAAACTTCAAACCAATTGGCAAAGAGTCTACTCTAGCGTTGTAACAAACAAACAGCCCATTGTAAAATTGTCAAAAAATTTGACATGAAAATATTATTGATGTTCATATCTAGATAGTCTTTAGCTTTAAGACCCCCAAAATGTAGAATTAGTATGAATACAATACGAATGTGAGAGTATTCTTTTGTATTCCCGAGATACTACAGGTTCAATTTGGTTACGTGTTTAAGCTAAGCATAATTGAAGCAATGAATAACAGCGTCTTCTCTAACCAATTAACATTGGGCAGCGATGAAGATGTTCCGTCATCTGTCGAACAGCTTCGGGCCGAACTGAAGCCATATGATCTTAATAAGAGAAGCAATGACTAAATAAGTTAAAGTGTGTCAATCTTTCTTGCCCATGAACACAAGAATTACTTGCCCCCTCCCCCCAATAATGTGACCTCTTTGCCAGGTCATTTTAGAAATTACACTTGGCATCAGAAGAGTATTCCTTTGTTCTTGTAGAATGATAACGCTTAAAGTTCACTCATAAACAGAAATGGACGACAAAACGAAAAAAAAAAAAATAGCTTTGTTGATGGCTTTTTTAACAATGTACAAAAATTAAACAAACCTGATTTAATTTGGTAACAACTGCACATTTTCTTATACAGTCAACGGAATTCAAGTTGATATGTATGGCTTGTTTTATCTTGTTATTTTTATATCGTTGAAATCTTTTCTGTCCCAATGGTAAAGAATGAAGGGTTTTATGATGAGAACGGAGTGTCGAGATCTGGCAAACGCTCAAAGAATGTCATATTTCCAAAACAAGGGGATATCGGTTTCTTCTATTTTTAAACAAAGTACTCCATTCAGTGGTAATGTTTTTTTTGGATAGGTACATTTCAAATTTGAGTAAGAGAAACGGCAGAAGGTTTAACTATTGAGTTAAGCACTACAGAGAAGAATTAAGACTAGTCTCAAGCTAAAAATTCAACACATGATTTTAAGAATCCAAGGAGTATCCTAACTATGTTACTTAAATGCAGTGTCATCATGAGATCTGAAGACCACTTATTACAAAAATTCATTTAGGGTGCAACTGAAGATTACACTTTAGCACGACCTTTGGGGATGCTCTAAGTAACAATCAATTCAGGTTGTGACTCTTATCTGATAAATTTTTCGTATACCAGAGCTACATCGATTCTATAAACCTAAAAATGAATGCATCAACTAGTCACACAGTCGTTTTAACACTGAGTAGACCCAATGGATCTTTTTATCTATGAAAATAATACTTGCCCCAGTGGACAACCTCCCTACTGAATTCAGTTTCATCTGTATACTAACTGGGATATACTTTGTCGTTCATACTACAAGAATTTAATTTTTAAGGTTTATCACTCACTGAAGGGGTCGATATGCATTCATACTGACGATGTATTCTTTTAAAGGATTAAACCAAATTCTCTGGCACTAATGAAACAAAAATGTTAGCACATCCATACACTTTTAAATTATATGAAGAGAAGGAGGGTAAAGACTTCAAAAAAAAAAAAAAAGACTCAGATCCAAACGCAGTGTGTACGTTTTTTAGTAAATAATTTAAAAGGCGGATGTAATTGGCATAATAGGTATAAAAAAACTGTTTATTTCTTTTGCTTTTTGGCAACGCGAGACAAATGTAAGAATCGTTGGATAACTGTTGTATTCGAGCAGTATATGCACCACATTTACGGTAACATACTTGCACTCCGACGATTGAAGTAATTTATCATCTTTCACCTTTTGGCATAGGTCAGATGATATTTCATAATACACGTAACACAAATATATTTATTTCAGTTACGGACTGTTATTTTATTATCCTTGATGTACCTTGCGGGATATTGACAGTTTAGACAATATGTCAATATAATCTACCCACGGTAGTCATCTTCTCGTTTGCTGTAAATAGTTGTGTTCGTTGTGTATAAAAGAAATCCACATTTTTATGTTTAATAAAGTTCAGCTCCTTTTTGCAATCTGGTTAATACTCTGTCTAATTTTCTTTTTTGTCTTTGGATTTTTCAATAACCAACTCAAAGGAGGAGAGGGAGCAGGACGCTTCAACGTAGCGCAACCTGATACGATAACATTTTCAATCTTTTGAGAAGTCTCGAGAGCAATGTTTTTCAAACATATCAAATGAGCAAGTACTCTGGGAAGAAGGGAAATTTGATCTAAATTCACAAAGAGCTTTACCTTGGCAACATTAATCATCCTGTAAACCTTGGGAGAGATAAGATCCATAACATAGGTGTTCAAATTAAGACCTTCACGGTGTACTCCACATACTTTGGGATTATTAATACCATCTGAGATAAGTTTGTTCAACGTTAGCTTCATCTGCTTGCCAAGTTTTAATAAATCTGACTCAACATAAGAATTTTGTTCTGAGTGTTTGAATTCAGCAATTAAAACTATACATTTCACACTACCAGAAAGATTAAAAACTTGGAAATCAGGCTTGTAGGATGCGTTACTATCGTTTGCAAGTTTACCTTTAGCCCATTTCATGTTAAGTAAAGGGTCAGAAGAGAAAACGGACGATAACAATGGAGAAATATAATTATGAACAAAGCTGTCTTCAATAGAACAATCAGGCTGACCATTAACAAAGATTGGAAGTATAAAAGCTAACACATGAGCAGTGTGTAAATCAAGAACATTCTCTGATTCACAGGCATCACTAAGCATTTTGGCACATAGTATTAAAGAGGAATGCCAGTTGTGAGGAGGAGATACTTCAATACCAATACACCAATCAAAGCATCGATTACCATTTTCTGGATGATATTTTTCAAATAACAACGATGGCTTAAGAGCATTATGTACACCAAGAGAAAAGTATTTGCTAATTGAGGAGGCATACTTTTTATCAAAGAGGTAGATGTCATTGACAGCAAGAATGCGTATGTCTGATAATTGAGCAGGGTTTATATCATTAACCATTTGAATAGAAGCACAGCGTAAAACAAGCCTGGCACGCTTAAAGCACAGGGGCGAGCCAATTAGAATGCGCCCCTGGTATATACGGTGTAGCTACAGTCAATCAGAGTCTAAAAAGCATAAATCAGATATACATGTATTATCCAATATCCATCTAAAGTTGTCAGCTGAGCCTTCGGATTGAGAAGAGCTTCCTTCAAATAACAGAGAGTAATTACTGGTACGTCTAGGATGGTGATCAATAGACAAATCAGAAGGAAATTTAGTTTCGTCTTCATCACTGTCGCGTTCATCACTAGTATTTTGCTGCGGTTGTTGTGTTTGATTGAAGTTAATTATTCCATCACCAATATTATTGTTGACTGTAGATGAATCACCAGTTGACAAATGTAATGTAACAGAGGAAGGTTTCTTTTTATCCAAGTCCATTAATTGTATTATTCTGGATTTCATATTTTCTGGAATATTGCTTCTGTTTTTTAAACTTTTTAAGGAAATGTTTAGACCTCCGTATTTTTTTTTCAAACGTATTTCTTTTTTATACCTTACAGCACTTCTGGTTAAGACCAGAAGGCCAACATAATTACAACTCTATACAGTGTATTCTCAGCCATTCACAGTCCTTGAGTTTCTAAAAACTCAAGAACCCTGCCAAGGAGGTCGCCCTCCTATAGCAAAGACTAGCCGCAGCCGCAACATTACAATATATCTTTTTTCATTTTAGCTTCTTTTTAAAGAAACAAGAGTCATTACCAACTAACCTTTTTACGTTATCGATTACTTTCATAGGATAAAAGAAGTATGTTAAGGGAAAAGAAAAGGAGAAGAATAAAGTGTGTGAACCAGCTTTATTTATAAATAAACAAGCTTATGTCAGGATGATTTAATTTGTCTATTTTATCATCCATAATGTTTGAGCCTTTACTTAAAATAGAAACACTTGCAAAAACCTCCCAAGCAAGTCAGAGCTTGGTAATTGTCTATCTGCGTTCCAGTAGTAGCTTGTAATGACAGTGAAGCAGAATTTATGGAAAACAGAAATCGATCATCCCATGAAGTTTAGGCGATATGGCATGTCAATTGACGTGTAGACCTTCACGTGATTCTAAAAAATACGTTTGAAAAAAATACGGAGTTCTAGACATTTCCCTTTTTAACGCGTTTTAAAAACATACTTTTTATTGTCTTTTGGTTCGCTTTGGTTGATTTATTCTCATTAAACGCGTTTTCGAATCCCTCAAAGGACCATTCTTGAGCAGGGTGCTCTGAAAAGTATTTAATCGCGAGGTCATTACCATTATATGTTGACTTTTCTGGTTTCATGTTAAGGGTAAAGAAAGTATGATTTTTTTTTTGTATGGGTAAAGAAAAAAAGAGCAAAAATAATATTTTACAGTCCGGATTTTTTTTTCAAAAAATCAACAAATTGGCAGTGGAACGACCGTAAGTTGCCAAGATTTATATTCTACATTTTTCTCAGGTTGCATCACACCACTAAACAAACAAAAACTGGCTTTTGAAAAATTATTCGTAGAAGGACCATATTTGGGGTAGTTTTGGATACTCTAATGTAATTTTTAAATGGCTATACGAAGACTGTAATTATACGACAAGTGTCGCTTTTATTAATTGAAGCAGCATGTGTAGAAGTTCTCGCTAAAGCTATGGAATCGAAAAAAAAAAAGATTGATCACTAGCGAATTTTATTTGCAGAATATGCATAAATCTATCATTGATTTGTATGTTAGTCGAATTCATGAGAAGAAATCAGACATATTCTACTCACCTGATGTCTCTGTTTATCGGTGAATTCAATCCATGCGTCCGCATAAGCTGCGTTTTCCATCCTTTTATGTATATCTTCTATTCCCATGACCTTTTCTTGTCTATGCTGCCCTTGTTTTGATGTAATGTAATCTATACATAGTTCAATTGTTTTTGCACTGGATCCTTTTAATCTATCCATTAAAATCCCGAGCGTATCGTTTTCTTGTATCCATAACAAATCCAAAAACCCCATGACACGAGCAAATAGATATCTGTTATCATCATTGAGCCATAGCTGCAATGTCTGAATGACCTTTCGAATATCATAATGATACAATTCACACAGAAATTCCAAGTCATATGGCTCTACCGTCTTATTTTCTGAGCAGCAGATTAATTGCACGTAAGCCAGCATGCTTTGCTTTTCGGGTATCTCAAAATAGATTGTGGTCTGGATATTTAACTGCTCAAACGGGATTTCTGAGTCATCTATTATGTGAATTGTTTTGAGAGGTTTTTTGGTTTTTTTTTTTTTGTAAATCTTATCCACACACTCATATTTTTTTTATGGGGTTCATACCATTGCATGTCATTATAATGGGTCGTCTACTCTTTTGACATAATTCAATCACTGCTGGCCAAAAGCCCTTATCTTCTTCAAATAAAATATCCACCTCTTCCAATAGCACGAGACTCTGCTTATGCTCATCCTTGATGTTCGCTTCCTCATCCATAGATTCGGCTTCGGTCTCAGTTAATGACTCTGCGCTGACTTTTGCGGCGGTCGTGCTCGATTCTGTTGTGGCAGTTTGACATTCAGTGGTAGTCATAGTGGTATCAGTGGTGGTCGTAGTGTTTTCAGTGGTGGTCATAATGGACTCTGTCGTGGAGATACTGGATTCGGTGGTTGCGGTTTTTTGCACCGACTTTTTAAAAAAGGAGGTAATCGTATTGTTAACAGGTTTCACTTGGACCAAACTAACATCTTCCTCTACTACTGCTGCTGGCGGAGAAGGGGGAGGAGGAGGAGGAGGAGTCTGTATCGCTTTTTTGAAGAAGGATGTGATCGTATTATTGATGATGGGCTTTGCCTCTTCCATAACGGTGTCTTCCTCTATTGCCACTTTTTCAGACGTACCGTTAATCGATGTAACGTCCTCCATCACCGCATCTGCTTCTTTTTCTGGTGGTATGTTGGCTGAAGACATGGTAAGCATTCGTTTAAAATGGGATGCGATATCGATTTTTTTGGACTTTTTGACAGTATCTCGAATGATGATGGTTTCGCCAGTTTTACGTTTTTTTTGCTGATGATCGAAGCGAACGAGATGGCTTGCGGTCATTTCGCCGACTTGTTTGATGACATCTTTACCTGTACGTCTTGAGGAAGCGTTTATTTCAAAAATAGAGTAGCCTGTTTCCTTGGCAGCGGTATAGACAGCGGCAGTTTTTCCGATACCATGGCAGCCGACAAGCAAGACGAGATTAAAAGGCTCGTCTTCACCTTGTAGGGATCCCACGTTTTTTCTGTCTGGATCCTTTCTGATTTTCAAGGTCTCTAGCCAGTCTCGCAGATACTGAAGGTCCGGTAGATCAGCTACGACTAAACCGTCGACGCAGTTTGGTCTGTACTTGTCACACCATGGGATTTTGAGGTTGGGACGAAAGTTGATGGAATCGAACAATAGTTTACAGCTAGCATTACTTTGCCATTGTGGATAATTTAGGTTCATTAAATCTTGAATGGCTTGATTATCAAATAGGGGTGGGGGTTCGCATAGAGGTTCGAGAGGATAGGAGTGTCGGTTTTCTCGAGCTTGTTTTATAGATCGGAAGAAACCACGGGTATCGACAGTGGCATTTAATATATCCAACTGTTTATTGGTTTTAATCTTTTTGGCTCGTCTTATTTTTTCGGTGGATTTTTTTGTGCGTGTAGGCTGTGCCGCTGCTAGTGTTGGTGCTGCTGGTGTTGGTAGTGTTGGTAGTGTTGGTGGTGTTGGTGGTGTTGGTGGTGGAGGAGGAGACACTGGCTTCTTGGTCATATTTTTTGTGAACAAGGGATGAATCTTGACCTCCTTTTTCTTTTCTTTTGGTACAATGGCGAAATGATCAGTGATCGATCTCTTTGGCTTCGTCTCCATGACCAATTTTTTTTTTTGTTTTTGTTTTTTTTTATTGACTAAAAGAGAAAGAGAAAACACCGCGTCTGTTAATAATTTATATTTTTTCGCGTTCATGTTTTTTTCAAAAAAAAAAAAAAGTTGCATGTTGAAGCTCCGTTCATTGTAAGCTTTTTCATTTTAAAAATATATATATAAAACTTTTCTAGCTCTTTTTTTTTTTTTGACACCTTTTTTTTTTAAACCCTCCCATGAGCAAATTTACTCGACCAACGTTTAATGTGGACGACGATGATTTAGAAAGACTCCAGCAAGAGTTCTTCGATAAAGAGCAAATGCCGTCTGCCAAAGTTTATCGCAAAACCGCACCTGTCATGGATAAACCTAAGCGTAGTCTTTTCTCGGAACGTTTGCATGCTTCGACAACCGAGCAAGCTACTACTATGCCAGCATTAGAACCAGGCAATAGCTTGCCTGCTTTAGAGACTCCTGCATTAGAGACTCCCACTTTGCAGGCACCCGCTCTAGAGACACCTTCATTAAACACCAGCATCGAGGAGGAAAAAGAAGAATTCGAACCCGTCATGGATCCTAATCCCGAACCTCATGTACCCGTCACCAAGAAAATGATTGATCTCACCTCTCTTTTGGGTAAAGTGTTGGGAGATATTACCGAACACAAAGTAGAGAAAGTGAATGCACCCACATTACCCACTGCCAATCAACAAGGTAAGACGTCTCGTGAGCAGCATGCAGGTTTTCCTAAACCTGTCCATCGCAGTGAATTCAAGAAACGTTTGGAGGCGCAACGAAATAAATCAAGTGCGAAGCCTAGAGTGGATGCGCCTCCTCAAGTGGCCTCACAAAATTCGGCCATGTTGGATACCTCGCTGTTTGATGACGACAATGATCGTCGTATTGGTGAAATGAGTCAACAACAATTAGAGGAAGCACGAGAGGAAATCATGAGCACCTTGAGTCCAGAATCCATTGCATTATTAATGAGGGGGCTGAAATCCAAAGCCTCACCAAAAGAAAAGGAGACGGTAGACAAAAAAGAACAAAAGAAGAAAACCGTCTCTTTTGAAGAACAGGTAGAGGATAAAGACGATTTATTACAGATGAAGAAGCAATACTTTGAGGATGTACCTACCGAAAACGATAAATTAGCTTGGATGGACAATCGATTCTTGACCAAGGAGATCAAGGCGCAGACATCCAAGCGACTCAAGGAACTCGAACTCGAAAGTAGTAATGAAGCGGAAGCCACTGAAGCCGAAAGGGTCTATCGTAAACTTCGTTTTGATTTACAAGGTCGTATTATGGATCAAAAGTTAGATTTACCAAGACATTTAGGTCTGCATCATCATGGCGATGAACCCGAAAAGGCCGGCTATACCCTGGCCGAATTGTTTTACCTCGCTCGTAGTCAAGTTCCATCTCAACGATCCATGGTATTAACCACTTTGGGTCGTATCATCACTCAAGCGAAACAACATAAAGGTCAAGATGTTTGGGATCATGTCATGACCGTCTTTACCGGAAAAGAACATTCGGCCTCCATCTATCTTCGTTCGGCATTGGACGATCGTAACCTAATTGTGCTTGTCAGTGCCATCCATGCTTTATCAGCCCTGATCTTGGACAATGATACACAATGGGAACAATCCCTCTTGGAGGCTCATGATTTCAATCAATTTTTGGGTCATATTGCACGCCCTATCTTACCTGAAGGGGCTTCACAGATCAAGCGAAAGGGGTTAAACGACAAGTTGACAGAATTAGTAGACCGTGTACGACATAGTTCTGGGCAACCCAGCGCGAGTGAAGAAGAACAGCGTGATGATGCTGCACTTGCAGAACGTGATCTTGTACGTGGATTAATCAAGATGGATATTTTACCTCGTATTCGATATCTTTTAGGATCCGATAGTGGTAGTGATTTGATTCAGATGGATCCAGCGTCTGTTGAACGTTTAGTGCGAATTTTGGTACGTATGGCCGAAGCAGGACAGGATGTATGTGAGGCAATTGAAGAAGAAGAGCTGATGGAACCCGTCATTTCTTGGGGAATTGTGAACACGCAATGGCCAATGACGACTGACGACGAGAACAAGAAGGCACATTCATGCTATCCCAGTTTGGCATCTGTACGACTCCTTACAGTACTAGCTCAGGGGAGTAAACAAATTGCGGAAAGTCTGGTCGAAAAGGCAAGCATCACGTTACGATTTTTGGTAACCTCTCCAGATGCTGCCTGTAACGGTATGAAACAACGAGCTTATGCACTCCAGCTTGAAACGTTAAAGTTGATTCGAGTCTTGTCTTGCTACGGATACATTGTTCCGACCTTGGAGGATCTGCATGGACCTGTGATGAATTGGCTTCGTGCTGCTCTCTCCAGTGACTGCACTGAGATGGATGCTACGAGGGCTTCAACGGCTATGGGATTACTGGAGGTGCTTTTACATTGTGCAGCGGACCCACATCTCACTACACCTGCTCATGCAATTGATTGGCATCAACCCACAGCTTATTTACCTGCGATTACGGCAGTTTTACGTGCAAGCAGAAACAGAAACCACACAGAATTGTACGAATCCTCTTTGGGCTATTTAGGTGCCTGGGCTTCTCATTTAAATAGATTTCCTCCTTCTTCCGAGTTGGAAATTGGAGAAATTTGGAAAGCTGTTATTGAAGAGGATGCTAACTTTGAATCCGGTAATTCCGTTGCATTAGGTTACACCACTACAACAAATCATGTCCTTCGTTACATTCAATTTATTGTTGCATATGCTTCACTGAACAGTGACAAAAAAACCTCCTCCTCTTCTTCTTCTTCTGCCCCCTCCTTGTACCGCGATGAAGCTAGAACTCGACTTCGATCAGCTCAAATTATTCATTTATTGAAGGCAGATTATTCAAAGGACATGCTCTCAAGATATGCCTTCTGGTTATGGTTGAAGCACTGCCAGGAAAAGGAAAAGTGCTGGGGAATGAGTTTGGGATTGGCGGAACTTGAATCTGGTATCAGAGGTGCACACATGGGTATCGTCGAAACGTGGTTGGCGCAAGACCTCTTGCAGCTTTGTCTTTCTACTAAAACTTTGGGCGACCTAACCAGTAGCTTGGGACCCTTCTATTTCCAGCATGATGAAAACAATTACGAGATTTCAAAAAGTTTATTCGAGATGGATGGTAGAAAGCTCAAGAGCTTGATGTATACGCGTAGTGCGGAAGAAAAGGTGGATGGGTTGTCATCGTTAGAGACGAGTGCCTTTATTCTTTCGCCCATTGATGGTTTATACCACCTCGATAAATGTAAAGTTGCACAAAAGGTACAGGATGATGCAGCAACGGTGGTTGCCAACACGATGGAGTTATCTACGAAAATCTTTTATACGACAGATATTAACCATGAAGTTGCTATTGTGAGCATGATGAAGATCTTTTTGATTGGAGATCGCGAGGGAAGAATGGCGGGTATGGAAAGTGAACGTGAAATCTTTTGGGATGAGCGAGTGTCAAAAATTCTAGGACAATGGTTAGACTACCTGTGTCGACAAAAGACCAACCTGGCTGGATTGGAGAATGCCTGGCGGAGATCATCGGAATATATCCGACAAGCTCAGGTACCTTTCTTCCAATTTTATCAAGGCTTCGTAGCTCAATATGCAGCCGTATCGTTTGGTCATCACGGGTTTGCGCGCCTTTTGGTATACCTTGTGACTCAAATAGACACGATTGACTATCGTCACTTGTTGTTCAGTGATTACAGAGATATTTTACCCACTCTTAAAGTTGCTGCAAATGAAATTCCTCCTCTTTCAACTGCCGAAGCTCAACAATTTGCAGATGCAGGATTGAAACTCTTGTAAAAAAAAAAAAATTCTTCCTTTTTGTTTATTTATTATTGACAAAAAAAACACACATAAAAACGTCATTAGTACAATACTGACACATAAAGTAGATAATAACAGAAGCTTCTTTTAGAATTGTAAATTCAGAAGAAATAAAAACCTTAAGTAAACTTTCTTCAGAAAAGAAAAAAAAAGTATCTAAATATATAAGACGGACAGAAAAAGAGTTGATTATCATATACTAATATTAAACGATCTGCAAATAATGAAATGTTGTTGTAAACCTCCCTGTTTTTTTTTTTTTTTTTTCTTCATTAAAAGTGATCACACGTGTTTTTCTAATATGTTCAGGGACACAAAAAATGACCAGACTACTTTTCAATTTATCAGTGAGACGAGTTCACAACCCGCACACTCACTTTTTTGTACGTAAAGAAAAAAAAAAAAAATGGCTGTCAATCAACCGAACCGACGGCGTTTAAGTTGCCATATTTGACACTACATACATGCTATTGCATTAGGGGGAAGCGGGAGTATCAAATAATAATAATCAAAAATAATAATAAAAAAGTTTCCTTCTCGGCTTTGTCTGTGCTTATATAAATACCTATATTTTTTTCTTTTTCACTCTTTTCTTTTTTTTTTCTTTCATTATCACATACACACACACATATATATATATATACATAGCACCGAAATGAATTCCTTTCCATCACCACCTTCTTCACCTCACCTGAGTAGTTTTTCATTCAATCATCAGACACAAGACCAAGTAATGTGTGGAGATTGTAACAAAAGCCTTGGTTCAGATTGGTTTTGTTCAGACTGTCATAAAAAATGCAATAGCTGTAATCGATTTCTTGGACAAGATGAATACTGTACTCGATGTTGGTCATTTGATCCTGTGAATCAAGAATTTTCTCGTAAATTGAACAAATATCATTCGTCCTTTATATCCTATTGTCCAACACAAACAACCGCTAGTAACCATAACAGTTTCTCCGGTCTACCTTCACCCTCCAATTCCACTGGTTCAACATGTTCAGAACCAAAATTACTAACTAGGCCATTTTCTTATTAAATACTCCCTCTTTTTTTTTTTTTTTGTGTATTATATAACCCCTTCTCTTTCCCCATCTCTCTCTCTCTCTCTTTCTTTCTTTTTTTTTAAAAAAAATGGGAAAACGTACATATAGAAATTATAATAAATAAAAAAATTTATCCAAAACGTAATGATGAAATTAAACATTCTGTATTTACAAGTTCATTCAGTCTATATATAAAAAAAAAAAAAAATAGCTGTTGTGTACCCGATCAATATAACGTGTTCTTGATGTTTGATGCAAGCTACTGCTTCTGACACGCATAAAAATTAGGCTTATGGGTTTATCCTTGAATTGGACCATTTGTGCATTACTATATAAATAGACGACGACTGCTAAAATGAACAATGTAACCTTTATATGCATATTAGAAACTTGTTATCCTTATTTCATTTTACCCAGGGGGATGGGGGGAGGAGAGGTCTCATCAATAACACCTCTGCGCGCGCGCTTGGAATGCAATATGGGCTGTCCGCACATACACACACACACACACACACTTAAACTTGACTCATATTACACAAAGAATGGGATGCATGCATGCATGCAAAGACATTTTCATTATATATAGTCATATAATGAATCCGTGAAAAAAGAGAACACTTCTTTATAAAGATTTGTAACATACCTGTCACAAGATAAGTTCTTTATACCCTGTTTTTTTATGATAAAGGGGGAGGGGGGGGGGTTGCTAAGGGCTTTTTTTTCCCGAAACCGCCTATCCTATAATCGTTTCGGGTTTGTGTGCATCAAAGTAATTGACATGACGGCTTATTGTTTTTTTTTCAATGATTGGGACTAAATCGGGGCATATTGTGAGAGGGACATGTAAAAGGTATACGATGATGAAAGCCCCAAAGCTGATATTAGAAAAAATTGTTTCATAAAAAAAAAAAAAAATCGAGATTACGCCTATCTCTTTTTTACAGATCCGTTCAGTGTCACTGTCAATAAATATAAATATCGGCTTTTACAGTAAGAGAGAAACTGATGGATTACCGACGGGTAAAATCAAAAACCACGGGTAAACCCCCAAGTTTTCTTTTTTTTTTTATATATACTGTCGGTAATAAATCATATTTTTAGGCATTGAGAGGTGAGAGGGGGGTGCTATCATCCTTACTTTTTGTTTATTAGACAGGATTGTAAGGGTAGTAGGTTTATATCTAAATAGTTAAAATAAGGTTGTACTGAGTTAAAATACACCCTCTCGTCCCTGGGTAGGGTAGGTGCAACAATGGGGATATCTCTTCCTCTCCCCCCCCCCAAAAAAAGAAAAAAGTCCGAAAAAGGTTTGCTGTAATTTTGGCCCTTTCAAACAAAAGAAATGGAATTTCAAGGATTTCCACGCATTCACAGTATATTTTATGCCGTCTTTGACATTATTAAAGGCACAGTTGTCAAACATCAAGTACCTGAAGGCAGTATCACACGCCAACCTGAAAAACAAGAAACAACAGGCAAAACTTTAATTGATTTCGAAGCCATTAGTGAATACATTATTCCCAAGAAACAGTTATACAAGCGACTGGTCACTATTTGTACCAACGGGTACAAGGTCATGGGTTGTCCTGTTGTCTTGCACGATCATGAAAAGTACCGTCATTTTAGAAATGAGTTTCGATTTAATCTTTGTTTTGTGTTTGAACAAGATGCTGAAACAAGCAGTTATGAAGCCGTTGTCAGAAAACTTTCTCGCGTACTTGAAGGTTTAGAGGTAAAACAAAAAACCCCTCCCCTCCCCACCTTTCACCGTAAAGCTTTTCTAAGACAACAATAATGTAGCTCGAATGTAACTTTTTATCAAAAGACGTGAGTTCTGAATCGCAAACAGTGCAAAACGTGATTGAGCAACTCTTCGAAGATCTTAATAGTTATTGTGAATGTCAAATACCCATTAGTAAGTTAATTTTCCTCTGTCTTTGAAAGGCCCTTAATATATTTATTTTACAAAATAGACACTTTTAATACGATCAATTTAAAACTGTTCCCAACGTACCCCAATCCAAGAACCGTCTATGATTATCAGGTGCCCGTGTGTACTGTGGATGTGCGTAAAATGATGAATCCTAATTGGGATATTACTGTTCAAAAAGTAGCCAGTCTGATTAATGGTATTCATCATGTAAAGCGGATTGCTGAACTAGCAAACGTGAAAGGAGAATGGGCAAGACAAAGCATGGAACACATGATGTAAGTGGGCTATTAATATCTACATATACACACGTGTGTGTCCTCTACGCGCTAAGGCTGGAGTTTAAGGAGTGGGCACGCGCGTGGAAAAAAAAAGAGAGAGTTTGAGGCGGGAACATTGATGGGCTTTTGTTTACAAAAAGGTATTACGGCTGCATTATCATGACAGATATCTTTCAATACTCAAACGTTTATGCTGTAAAACCCGAAATCACACGTTTGTTTGATCCCAAATATGGTCTTGCACAGGAGTGTCTGCGATATATCATGATTCCTAGTATGATCCTAAAAAAAAAAAAAATATGTATATATACACCTTTTTTAAATTGTTGTGTTCTGACGCTTCCTTTTATAGATGCACCAGAAATTTCGATTGAACGTATTTATGCCTTATATTGTGGCCTAAAACATGGATTGACTGTCAAAGACTGGATTGAGGAGCAACAGTTATCCGTGTTACATATTGATGAAAGGTTTGGCAAAAATACAGCCCTTTTTTCTTTTCTTTTTTTTTTTTTACTGATCCGCCACTTTATGTTTATAATTTTAGACGTGTGATATCTTTTGGTGTAATTAAAGGTTTGATTTACAGAGTCCATAAATATCCAATTTTAGCGAGCACACATGAAAGTGAAACCCAATCTAGTTTTCCCTGCAAAAGTCAATATCATTTAGTGGTGAATGAATATACTGGGATGGTCATCCACCCAGATATTATTCCTTATTTAGATGGGAAACATCATTACGACGAAATTTGTACGGATTTGGAATGTTCACCACAAGAACTGGATGAACAATTGGGCTACATTAGCAACCAACAACAACAGCAACAACAACAGCAACAACAACAGCAGCAGCCACATCAGGATGAAGTAGATAAGGAACAACATGCGGTCAATACTGTTTATGAAGGCATGGCTGAGGATAAACAAAATGAAGGTCAGCCTCAGTGGAGTGTACAATTTATATTTAGATAAGTCTTTTTTATTATTATTATTATTATTAAACAATACGCTTGCTTGGTGTGTGTGTGTGTACGTGGGGGGCTTGGGTCCATTTTTAATTATAGACTCCCCCTCCCTGTCTTCCCCCCCCCATCAATGTTCGGATGAGAATGCGTTGTACGTAACACCTCAGTACAACTCTAGAGTTAGTGTGTGATTACCTTAAATGTGTCTGATGCAACAATTAATTTGCAAAGTATCGCAAAGGTATTTTGTAACACATCAGACCAAATTATTTATTATAATTAGTTCCTATGAGGTTGCACAGGGATCGTCCAAACGGAACAAGAAGATCTTTTAACAGTCGCAAAAAATATTAGACTTGGGCCACTTGGTCCTTCTGTTACTTCTATTGTTTCTATTACTTCCCCTTTGTGAGTAATAGAAAAGCCGCTTTTAGCCCTCGAGTTTCTCTCTCTTTTTTTTTTTGAGCTTCTTGTACTTTTATATATAACCCTATTTATAGATTTTTTTTTTTTTTTTACGAATAGTATATAATGGTTGCTCCCTAAATTTCGTTTTCTTCTTTCTCTCTCTATCTCTCACTCTCTCTTCTTTCCTTATTCCCTCATTTTTACCCACTATGATTTTTAATAAGACTATTTTGATCGCAACAGCAGTTGCACTTTTGTATTCCGATATCGCCTTCGCACAAGCTGCCGCAGCCCCACCTGCCGTTGTTGTTGCTGAATCATACGCTATTCCTAACGCCAAAATCGCATGGAAGAATGAGTATCCTGTAGGCGCAACTAAGCCTGCCCCCAAAGCTGAATGGGTAGCTTTAGTTAAGGAAGACCCCGCATTGAGTATTGCTCCTAATATCATTACTTCAAGTAAATACATACACAACTGGATGATGACAAGTTTTTTTGATATTAATATATTTATTATTTATTAGTTGGTGGTATTATTCAAAATGCTGATCCCACTGGTAAAAACACATATTGTAACTGGACCTGGGATGGTTGTGTTAAGCCCACTGATATTGTGCATTGTACAGACAAGACCATTTGGGGAACAGTATGTTTAAAGTGTAAACAACAACAACAATCAAAATTTATAACTCCAAATTTTTTTTTTCTTATTTTAGAGTTTCGATGATGGACCTTATGAAATCACTCGTGAACTTTTAGCCTACTTGAAGACAATTGATGTTAAAGTCACTTTCTTCGTGGTTGGTAAGCAAGTCATTATGTGGCCTGAAGTCCTTAAGGAAGCCTATGATCAAGGTCATGAAATTGGTATTCACACTTGGTAAAGTCTAACCATTACAAACGTCTCTATGACAATTAAATTAATTTTCTTTGTTTAAAAAGGGATCATGCTGAGTTAACTACACTCTCCACTGAGCAAATCATTGGTGAATTGAAATGGACCGAGCTCGCTATTAAAGAAGTCATTGGTGTCACCCCCCGTTTGATGCGTCCCGTAAGTAGTTTTATATTGTCAGTAAATCTTTATATTAAACAATTTTATTTTATAGCCTCGTGGTGATATCGATGATCGTGTACGTTATATTGTCAACCAACTTGGTTATACTCCTGCCATGTGGTCTGTTGATTCTCAAGATTGGAGAATTACTGCTGGTGGACAAACTGAAGCTGGTCTTTTAGGCAATGTTACTCAATGGGTGAACACTCTTTCTTCTTTAACCAAAGGTGGAGGAAACTCTTTAATGCACGATTTAAACAATGTAACAGTGGGCGCAGCTCTTAAGGCTTTACCTATCTTGCATCCTGCTGTCAAATTGAGTCCTGTTGGCGTTTGTGCTGGTTGGGCATCCGGAAGCTCCTACCTTGAAACGCATCAAGCAGCAGCTGTTGTCCCCGCTGCTAGTGAGACCCCAGCTGCTATTACTCCTGCTGGTAATGGTGATTCCAAGACAACTACCCCTCAAGCCAGCAGTGGTGTCCCTAATTCTGTAAAGGCCACTCCTGAAGGTTCTGCTGCTACTTCTCTTAAGGTTTCCGTTACCGTTGCTGTCACTGCTGCCCTTGCAGCTATCGTCGCTGCCCTTTAAACAAGAAGTGTCTTTCTCTCTCCCCTTTTTTTTGCCATAAGTAGTTATCCCCCCCTTACCCACACACATTTATAATAGACTTAAATGCTCCCCCCAATGTATTACCCTTTCTTTCTCTTTTTTATTTTTTTCTTTTAATTAATGATGCCTTTTTCTCTCTCTCTCTCTCTCTCTTTCTAAACCCCCTTTCTTCACTATTTATCTGAATATCTATATAAAAAAATAAAAAATATATACAGACATGATTATAGTTATTCATCCATTATAACTTTAAAACCTGTTCCCCATAAAAAAAAAAAAAAATCCAAGGTACTATATGCAAACACTTTCCAACCCCCCCTTGCTTGAAAATAACCATTTATTGTTTTTCGTCCGATTGATTTTTTCTATATTTACAATGTTCTAATCCTCCTTTTCTTTTGTTTCCCATTCATCTAATTCTGTTGCTGTTGTTGAGATGCTTGGTTCAACTACAAATAATGAATGAATAAACCGTGTCCTATACGTATATATTTAAAAAAAAAAAAAAGGAACTTACAGTTTCACTGAGTTCTCCAAAACGAACACTCACACGTTCAGAATGCTTCAAAAAACGATCAGCACATCGCTTCACACAAGCTTCTTCTCTGGAAGACACTGCTTTACTTGTAAAATCATTAGCACATTCCTTAAAACAACGATCGGTAAGTCGGGTGAACAAATCCATGAAATCGGTAATTTGTTTTTGTTCAATAAGTGCACGAATTTGCTCTTGCTCAGCTTGATTATATTTGGTGGGATCCATTATTGTTTTTTTTTATATATATGTCTATAAAGAAAGGAGGAGGGGGGGGGGTAAGGGGTGCGCGCACAAAAATAGAGTGTGCAACCGTTTTTTTTTTTACACTTTAAAATTCAGACAGTGTCAGACGAATCAGAACTTTTTAATAAAGCTATCGATCTACTAAAGGAAGGTGGCTCTTTTGTCTTATTGACAAGCAACAGGTCGATCATTACCAGCCCACATGGATAGGACAATAGTAAACCTGTTTTTTTTGGATACCGTTGCGTCCTGATTCCAAGTAAATATTACATTTGTTACAAATTAAAATATGGATAGATTCGGTTAACTTTTCCAACAGTTGGTTAAGCAACTATTAACATAGGTCCGAATAAAAGAATTAAATAATAAATTGTATGGTATAAACACGTATATTTCATCGTTGTTAAGATTCATAAGCACACGAAGCCTCTCACAAAATTTTTTGTTGTCGGTAAAGTTCTTCTGCCACACTGTGCCCTATGACCTTTAAATTTTTACATGGGATTAGACCGTTTCTCCTCTCCTCAATTGTAGTTACTGCCCTTTTTTTTTTAAAAAAAAAAAGTAGTACTTCCAGAAGAATATGAGTTGTACCTAATATTTTATCAATGTGATTTATTACATCCAAAAGGGAAGAAAAAAAAATTATATAGCTGTTATCTAATTTCATCTATGCAAGTAAAAGTGACCAATTGACGGCGGAAATACAGTATTCGCAAATGTTTCTGTATTAAGTAAAGACCCAAACAGTAAAAACGATCAAGTAAACAATGCAGTCATTCTAATTTTACCCTTTTCGCTACAAAAGATACCGTCACACCAAAGACGTGAATAACATCCAAGAAATAAGTAGTATCAAAGAAGCCGAATCGACCATAAGCAACAAACGTATACGTTAGTACTCTTAAATTATCTATTTATTCACTGACTATTTACATTTATTAACTAATATTGCAACTTTTAGAATGCGAATCCCCAGCTTATTGATTTCGTCAATAACATTTTTCTGATACGCGATCCATGTAACGAGGCGGTCTATGAACGAAAGAGATGTGTCTTCTGATCAGTGTTTAGAATAAAGCTCAGAACTCTCGAGCGAGCTTCGAGTGATCATCGATCGAAGCTCGAGTACAAAAATTCGGTTCGAGCT